CCTTTTGACCTAATTAAAGTATACTAAAATTATACAGTTAATAATGAATATAATAAAATGACAAAGAATTTGGACTTACTGAATCTTGTCTTAGGCTTATTCTCCAACCGGAATTATATGAATTTAAACATGAATCCTATACTTTTCATTTTTTACATATTCTAGATCTCAAATTTTCTAAATAGAAAGATTAAACTGAAGTTCTGTCCCTCAGTAGAAAATATTTCTGATCAAGTAATCCCTCCTTCTTCGTTCTTTAAAATTCCAGCATTTTCAAACTGAACAGCAACTTTAATCCAACTAGCGAACTTTGTGCGTTTCTCTCATTTCCATCTTCTTCACTCAATTTAATACAAAATATTTAGGAATGAATAAAGATGCTTTGTTCTGGTAGACATATTCATTACTGTAGGAAATATTCCCTCCTCTTTTTATAATGTTTAGATAACACTATCCAAATATAAGCAATATATGACTTCTATTAATCTAACTTTAATGATCACAACAAAATTGAATTTCTGAAACCGAAAACTCTAGCACAAACCTTACATTTTAAAAAAAAAGTGTTACAGAAGAAGGGAGAATGAAGGGAAATAATTTTTACAAATAATTAAAAAACAGAACAAGATCGATTTTAACTGCCAAAGGTGCATAGAATAGTGGCAGAAAGTTATTTAAAATTTCAAATAAGGGTACTTGAATGGGAGGAGATATTATTTATTGCTATAGAAACAAAATTTTCACCTGCTTCCTCAATGTTATTATGAAAACTTCTCAATAATAACTATTCTTCGATGTAATATTCTCCTCTCATCACATTTACCTTTCATTAATCAATGCAAGCATATCATTAAAAAATAAAAAAAATGAAAAGAAATCTAATATTCGACTTCAGGAAAAATTTACGACGCCCCGTTGCTATGAGAGTGAAAGCTACATTTTCAATGGAATAAATTTTTAAAAAATGTTGAAAGAACAGAATAGACGACGACAAGTCGCACTTCAATTCTAATAACTTTCTTGAAGGTAATAAAAGGACAATATTAAAAAAGTAGCTCGGTCATGCAACATAGTGCATTTCATCCGATATGAAATCGAAATATTACCTGAATGGTCTCCTCAAAGCAGACTTAGGATATTCGCTTATAGACTTGATAATTTCCAATTTTCTCTCAATACCAATACAATTATTCCTTTGGTTAATTCAATTCGACAAATCACCACAAAATTGAAATTTACAAAAATATGAAATCTTTTAAGTATAGCAACAATACAACCATTCCGTTGAATTCGTATAAAATCAGATTTAATTAATCGCTATATATTATGATTTGTAAATTTTTATGCCTTATAAGAGCATTCAGCATTAAAAGTATGATTTTGATAGAATTGTACTCCATGTAATAACAACGAAACACGAGGTTTTTTCAATTCGTTCAACTTGATTTTACCAGAATAAAACAATCTATCACTTAACCCACACAAAAAGGTTTAATAAAAGATCAAAAAATGGTTAGGAAGATAGAAAGCAGGCTGAATAAATGCAAAAACATGAAGAGAAGAAAATATCGCTTATACTTTAAAGCAGATTTTACTATGATACGAAATGAATAATATATAAGTTGCAGATTTCAGTATTGATAGCTAACAGTATATGAACAAGTGTTTTTTAGAAGGAAACGGAAAACAGTTATAAACAAAATCCTTAGAGAATGTGGAAATGAACGAGAATGAAAAGAAAAGAAATATATCGTCAAGGGAACTGATATATCAACCATAAAATCATTTAAAATAATAGAATCGACAATTCAAAATATTTGTTATATTAAAACCATTAAATTAAGCCAACGTTATTTCTGATCTTGTCAGCGCACAGTTAATCCATACGACTGATGTATTTCATGACGTTCTAATAAATAGTATAATTTTGAAGACCCTGTAAACTACAGTTTACACGACATTGTATGTACTATCATGGCAAAGAAGATACTAAGAAAATTACCAAAAAATTATTTTTGTTGTCCTATTGTCTCAGCTGACAGTATGTGTGTGAAAATCAAACTGGAATTTTCTAGTATCATTTTTTCCTTTTTTTACAATAACGCCAAAATAGAAAAATTTCAATGTAGAACAGAATTTCAAAACTCAGTAGTAAAGGAGTCTGACATAAGGTTTTAACTATCTACTCAATATATTTAATAGGCGTGCGAGCGTGTGTATGCTTAGAATAAGGCAAAAATTTCATGCAAAACAGAGTAGAATTTTGCACCAGTTAAACTGGTAGATGTAACTGCTAAAAACAGAACTCAAGTGAGAAAGGTATGTGAAACATATAAGTCAGAACGAATAAATTTCGTTATTCCTCGACATTGAATCGTATATCGAGTGACATTTCCATCATTTAATTGCGTCCATGAATTTGTGACCATCAAAATCCAATAGATTTATCATTCTGCTTCGGTTGAAGTTTGTCCATTATCAGGTTTATACGCCTCAGCTTCTGATTTTGAATTTTATTATTAGCAACTGATTTAATTCGTAGTTCCGGAATACCGAAGGAAAATGACAACTTTCCGCGGCTCAGACACATGGTTCCATAAAATCGATATGCCGGCGAAAACCGAAAGATGTAATAAATTGTATAAAGGATTAGACGGTTGGTTAACACTGCCATCTGTTGCATGTTTAGACGATTCTTTGTTGCAATTAGTTTCACTTATTAAATGATTATATGATTCTTTACTCATCCAACGAATGATTGTTACTTCTTTGTTCAAGTACAAAATTATCTACTACAAATGTTCATCAGGTAACAAGAAAATATATAATAGTGTAATTCACTGCTAGGGGTCATTCTCATGACCAACGCTGTTCTGTTACGCGATTACTTACTGACTGACTCTTTGCAGAGAGCCTTCACTTCAGTAGCTTAACGATTGTACTCTCATAGGCTCAACCACAATCAAAAAATTTTTACTGCATCATGAATATTTCCCATACTGCAATTGTTGCCTGCAAGTAGAAACATCTCGGCTAATTATTATATATATTGCGCAAATGCAACATATTCCTCACTCAAATAATACACCGAAGATTATTCAACAGTATGCAGCTATTTAGAAAGTATTTTCAAAAAATAGAGAAAGAAAAGCCGATATAGATCCTAAAAGCAAGAAACATCTTTAACCACTTCTTTACTAGAAATTTTATTCATAACCCACTCTGAAAGAGAAACCGGAAACAAATGTCCAGAAATACCACATTATACCATATTTGAAAACCCGACATTTCGAAATCAAACCGGGAATATATCTTTAAGAAAGCAAAAAAAAGAGTATGTTTAAGGAAAAAAAGGAATATATGTTTTTGACCATCTTTTCAAAGTAAGATATTCGAAACAATTTATATTTAAATCCAAATAGTTTTTCGGGTTTTCACAGGCATACTCAGAGTTCACGTCTCCAAAAAATGGTAGAAAGAGTGACTCGTATAAAAAAAAGAGAAAGGGAACGGTTCACTAACAAAAAGTACAATACTGCCACAGTCAATTAAATAATCTGCCTGTTCCAAATCTTTGCTGAAAGCAGTGCGAAGCTATAATTCATGTACTGATGGAATGTATGAGATGTGCTTATTTAGAATGCAATTACTTTTATCCGAATCAGAAATCATTGTGAAAAACGATAGTTACAAAGCCGTTCTCGACTTGACGAAGTTATTCAGCATGAAAATATATGTTCGAAGTTAACTGAAAGAGGAAATTCAGCATTTAAAAAGCTGAACTCAAGAAAACTGCTTTGAAAACATTTCGATTACAGAATATACAGAAAACTTCAAAATAAATCCCATTTATATTATTTGAGAAATGAACAGCTACATTAAATAGCACTATTTTTGGCATTGCATTCACGCTTCCTTTGAACAACATATTACTAGAAAATTACTTCCAAAAAATTAGGAGAGGAGGAAGAAAAAGAAATTAGGAAAAAAAATTTGGAATTCATCAAAATCTTAGTCTGCTAACCATTATGAAGAGGGAAATTTGGAGCAAAGTGAAGAAAGAGAAATACCATGGCGCCGTAAGAGAAAAGGCAAAGAAAAGTGTCTGTGCTGAGCTGTTTAGCAAGAATTTCACACTTCGAGATCCCAACAATTATACACCAGTATGTTAGTAGGATTTAGAAATTCGTGAAAACAGCAAACGACAGCTGTAATGAAAATAGGAAGTGAAATTATTCCTCATTACATTTTAACTTTCCTTTGTTCAAAAAGAAGCCTTAAATTTAAAAGAGCATACATCGTACTTACCTTACCTTCCCTCACTGAATTTCAAAGAAATTACACAATAAAATTAAGAAAGAAACAAAAGAGCACCCGCAAAATTGATTCCTATAAATCCACAATTCATCGAAAAAACTGATAAATGCAGAAAAATTCATGAATTCATAGGGGAAATTTCTTAAAATTAGTAAGCAACCAAATAAAAAATTTTAAAATTTGTAATGATAGAGAGAGGAGAGCAAATGTGCGAAGACTTGACACTACAAAGTAAAATTCAAGGGTACGAAACAAAAATGGAGCAACAACCCAGGTTTCGAAATTCAAAAATGTTTGAGAAACAAACGAAATAAAATTCCAGATAAATTAGTAGTGCAAAGCAATAAAAAGAATAATAAGGATAAACATGAACCTAAAATTTATAAAGTGACCTAGAAGTAATACACAACCTGAATATAAAGAAAAACTAAGAAACAACAATTTAGAAATTAATTGCAATCTTTTTACACATTTTTGACTCATTACAAACTCCTTAAAGAACTTCAACTCTCTTAAAATTTAATTTTTTATTTCAATTCTGTACAGCATTTCTTCTCATGGTTTTCATTTAACTATTTTCTTTCATCCTTCTCCACAAAGCATTTACAAGAATGTCGCAATATATGTGGTTTACAGGTTTAAACATCCAGAATAAATGATGAGCAGTAAATGAAATCAATTTGTCATACATAGAGCCGAATTAAATCACGAATCTGAGCGTATACTTGTCGCAAGTCGGTCGATCTGAAAAAATCGAAAACTTGAAATTATCAAGGTAGAGTGTTTACGAAAGGTTTTTTGATCTGGAATTTTTTGGAGGGAATCATCGGAAGTCAGATAGCTGGAAAGTTATGAGACGCAACGTGTCTTGAACACCATTAATTCAAGCAAAATTTTCACAACTTACTCCAATACATTTTTATGAAACCATTCTAGTTGTTCTACTGTTGCACAAAGACCTCCATTATGAGGAAATTTTTCCAGTGATGCCTTCAACCAGACAGATAACTGCTGAAAATTTTTATATTTTTTTCTTTAAAATTACAGCCAATTTCATTAAACTATGTGTTTCAGAAACAATGAGATTTAACACTCATTTTTTATAATAATAAAAACCTTGAATTTATGTCAATTATCTTCTTAAATTACTAAATTATGCACCTCTTCCGACAGTTTACCAATTAAATAAATAATTTCGGCCATATCACGCTTTAAAGTACCCGACACGCTAAATACAGCCGCCTGAAGAGATCCGCTAATCAATCTTTCGCCGTATTTTAAAAAGAGTTGCTCAGCTCCTTCTACACCTGCATCTCGATAATTGGACTGCAAAATTAGCATTCATGAATTTTATTTCATTTAAGATTGTTTTCAATCTATTTATAGAAATTAAATTTAGGATGAAGTTTTCGTCTGCATATAATTAATAAAAACATTATTTCCATAACTGTTTCTTTATATGTTTATAATTTTCGAATTTGGAAAAATTAAAGTTTTTCTTACCTTTCTTGCGATAAGTAACGACGTAACACATTCGGAAAAGAATTTGGTAACTGATCTGTTCGCATCAACGTGATCAACATCTAAACCAACAAGTCCACATTCAAATAACTGAGCACTCATTGGTTCTTGAAAAAATACTGATGGCGCACGCTGTACGAACCTGAAACAAAGGACTGAAGAATATCGAGTTTCTTGTTGTTAACTGTTGCGAAAATGACGTCATTTTTCGTGAAAATGACGATTTTCCAGTTAATGGAGAAAGATAGAGAACTGTCAAACAAATCACCTGATAGCCAATCTAAACATATCATCGATTGTATCTGGGTGATTGCGGAAACCATTTTGTTCTTGCAGCAGTTTAAACGAATCGTTGCATAAAATCTATAAATATAAACAAAAAAAATCTGATGAAATATTTGGTTCTATCTGAATCTAAGTGTACTTAAAACTATGCGTTACATATTTCACCTTTTTAATGCTTGATTTCTTATGAATTAGCATTCTTTACTATAGATCACATTCCAAATAACATAATTCTTCAATAAAAATTGATTAAATCATCAAAGAGAAGAAAAGTTTACGTTAAGCATATGAACTAATCCAGAGCGACAGCTATCCAAATGACCGTATTCGTCAACCAAAATACTGGCCAAATACAGGAAGCATGAATGAGGGTGGCGATTATATATATCAACCATCTGAAATTTATACTGCATGCTATAAGAGAAACGATAGAGTTAAATTTCGCAAAACCATACTTAAAATTAAGATGTAGTTGAATAACAAATATCCAATAAGATATTCCAGTACATGCCGCTAACAAGGAAGAAGCTAATCATCTTCATATTTTCAGATATTTAAATAATTACCTGTTCAACGAGGGATTCAATAAAAGTAATCGAATGAACTTCAAGAAAGCGTATCATGAATCGTATCGCACGACAGCAATGCTCAACGACTCGAGTATTTTTTTCATATTTTCTGCAAGTTTCCAAAACAAATGGCCAAACTTCTTTCACCGTTGCAATCCACAACGTCGGGACATCATCGTTTGTATTTGTAGAACTTCCTGAATGAAAATAAATTAAAGTACATCAAATTAACCAGGTAAACACACCTGTCAGTGAATTCGTAGTGCACACGATTGTAAAAAAATTTAATACCATTTTGGGCACTGTTTTTTGGATTGCATGCCTGGTGCGTCCAAGGCTGAACATGCCGAAAGATTGCAGCTATTCTATCTACCCATAAAACTGGATCGCGACTCAAAAGATACCATGAATCTGATGCATTCTCGTTGCTATCTTGTGATTCGCTAGATGATATATCTGCCTTTGATTTAAGAAGCTAAACAAATCCAAAACTACAAAATAAAATATCAAGATATTTAAATAAAATTTAGTGAAAGGAAATTTTCAGATATAATTTGTATAAGGGATAGAGATAAAGATTTTTGAAAATGAAATTTACTGCAGCCAAACGTGTCATTTGTGGTTCAACTAAGCGCCTTAATCGAGCTGCAGTTTCCTCTCCTGGCAAACCATTCAGCATTGAAGAGCAAGCTAAAAGATTAATTATATTTAAACAACGTCATGCTATGGTCATATATCTAGAACAGTGCCATGTTGAGGTCATTTACAAACAATTTTAAATAATGATGATAGCATAGTATTTGTTTTAAATATATGATGACTTAATGATAATTTTTAGGAATCTTCCTTATCGAAATTAGCAGTTTTTAAAATAGAGTGAGAAGTGACATAATCCAAGATTGCTAACTAGTTAACTGTTGTAATCATATCAGTCAAAACAAATGCCTCAACAAAACAACAACAATTTTACTTTTTAAGTTAAAAAATCCATTAGATCAAATCTTAGTGAGGCAAAATAAATGAAGACAAAGGGAATAACAGAAAGTATGTCATATGATATTCAAACAAGAATAATATAAATAAACGAAAGTGAACCTTGCAGAAGTAAGAGAATGGAATTCTCTAGCTGTTGTCCTTTGTTTTCGCCACTTTCTAGGAGTGGAATGATAGCAAGTATAGAATCGAAATGCTCCAAACAATTACTTTCGCACTTCTCACAGATTCCATAAAGAGATTCGGAAGCAGCCCGAACAAAGCATGGTTTTTGCACTTTATCCAATAACCAAGTGATGCATGGCTCTAAATTAAATCTTCCTAAAAGTTCAAAATCAGCAAACAGTTGAATCAATAAAAATTTTAAAACATCAGTAAAGTAAAGCTATCTTTTAAATACCGTACTGAAGTAACGACACACCTTGATACTGTTTATTTTCTTGCAACCAATCAATTAAATTTCCAAGCAATTTAATGGAGGTATTAATCAGTATGGGATGGGAAATAACGGGCATAACCAGTACAGCATGAACCAAAAGAGGAATCACTGTTTCTTCCGTCCTAAAATCCAGTTAATTAACTGTCAGGAAACAAAAACTCACGGATCAATGACAACTGAACGGCTTATGACTTCTGATAGCCTGTCATAGCAAAGTGAAGAAAAATCACCGTATTGTAGTTACTTTGATATTACTGCATCGATCTACTGGTTAAAAGCCATTTCTCCTAATCTATTTAAGAATTGCTATTATTTATGAGGAAAAATTTGTTCGCTGAAATGTAAAAGCCTTTTTCCTCATTCAAAACAGATTATATAAGATCAAATGCAATTAAGAACACTTACGGAAGAACGTTATGTACGATCACTGAAATGATATATAAAGCAGCTTCCGATTCGTCCCAAGAACCTGATGAAACCGACTGCAGTATTGAGAACATCTGCAAAACATTTAAACGAATTCACAGTCAAAATTAAATAAATTTCTAGGTTTTTTTCCAAAAAAATCCTCGATTACTCCTAAATTAAGGAATTAAATTGGTAACTATATCAAGTTTTCCTAAGGAATTTATGGAATAATTAAATCAGATTAAAATTTCTCTCCTTCTGTAAGGATAATCTTTCTGAAATCACAATTCAATTCGTTATCTACAGAACAATATGGGCTGATATCGTAACATGGAATTCTTACTAGTATATAAAAACACATACGCTTTGAATGCATCGATCAGTTCCAACAATGAAAACAACATCTTTAAGTGTGTCGGATACTTGACCTCGAAATTCAACAAAATCATCATTCTCGTCAGGAACATCTTCCTGATCAGTATCAAAGCGACAATGTTTGTAAAGTGCCATGATATACCTTAAGTGAACATATGGAAGTACGAATATTCTACTTTCCTAAAAAAATAATGTAAAGAGACATGAACAAAAACATCTGAATGTGGCAGGATTCATTGACTGTAATCTTTATTCTTCTCGATCTAAGAAATACTAAAATCATTCTGCAATACACATTTCATACAAACTCACCTATTTCACTCAGGTAACAAGAACCATAACGTAAACTATCCAACCTTTCGATGTATGGCTTGAACTGAGCATTCAACTCATCGTCATTCCTTTCATAGAGATATTCAGAAAGCCGGTACCAGATGTTGAATGTCATTTCCACTAGCTAAATAATTTTTTAATAAAAACTGCACTGCAAAATATAGAAAGTTGATTCTAAACCGTTCGAAGTAAAGTAATAAGTTACAACTAACATTATAATCATGATAGCCCGCCAGAAGAAGCAACATTTCGATACTTCGAAAATCACCAAGGCCTTGTCCTGGCTCCTGGATCATACATTCTAGGAGTGATTCACTTAATTCACAGAATACTCGCGCATATCCTTGTAACCTAGAGATGCAACTTTTATATATTGCCGCTATTCCACTAATTACATGATTTCCTTTTTAACGCAGCACGGAACTTCATTTAGTTCACATAATCACTAAATATCATAACAATATGAATTACATTTAAGCCAGTATAATCTTTAAATTTCAAGAAATTATATAAAAAGAACCTATCAAAATCATCATTGGCGACAGCCATTGAAAAGCTGTCCGCCATTCCATAGCACGCAGTTTGCAGAGCAACAGCTAGAGCACGATTAACATTGGTATCTTCAGCACGATATAATGCTGATACAATACATTCACAAGCCGAATCGTGCAGTGAATTGGGTGAATTTGGATTCTGCTGTAAAAAAAAAAGTCTAAAAGTATATATGCTCAAAAAGCCAATTAGCCATTAACTTTCATTTCTCTTTCCTTCTTTTTTTCTGTTCAGAAAATATAATCAGTAGTTTCGTTCAAAGCCAATTTCTTCGCACCCAAAAATTTAATTATATAAAATAACTTCGAAACTCTCCAAAAGTATGAGAACTCAAACCAGAAGAGAGAAAACATATTTGAGCAGGTCGCTTGCTGCGATATCGTCAGTAGGAATTAGAGGATTTAGCAACCAAGAACTGAAACAGCTCAGAACTTTTTTCAGTATCGCATCGTCATTACCATTAAAAGCACAAATTTGACTCTGCAAGAGAACTTAATAGAGTAATATTATGTATACATCAGTGTGCGTAAATGCATTTAAATTAGAAACATCTCACAACTAAAAAAAGTTCATGCGATAATTTTTTTAAAAGAATTGACTAAACTTATACAGTTATGTAAGGAGAACCCACTAAAAACTGAATGACTGTTTGTGTCTTTTGTGCCAATTCTGTGTTAATTGCACGGCGTCGATTTTCGCCAATCCTCAGATGTGTGCTTTGTACTTCTTCTGGTAGAGTTTTCAAAAAAGTAAGTAAAACAGGAGTTTTATCAGGCGTTCCAAATCTGCAAGTAATACGGAAAAATAGGCAAAAGAGTGTATTTGTACGAAAGTAGCAATATCCAAAATAAACTGAAAAGACAACTTTGAAAGATTGCCTTTTGAATTCATTCGGCAAGATTGTCACAGCTGCTTCTGACAAGCGCTATTACTATTAGCAAAAAAGACATTATATTCTGAAAAAAAAAAAAAAAAAACTGCAATCATTTTTCAGACATACGTAACAAAACATGCCTTTCAAGAATTTCTGCGACAAAATTAGTCCATTCCGGAACTTGTAAATAAAGATCAGAAAGCGCCAAACAAAGTTGTGTAATGATCACCGAATTCCTTTCAAGTGGATAAGATTCGTAATTTCTGAAATAGTTTTCATCAGTTATCGCAAAAAGAAGGATTTGAGGGTAAAACAGCATTCAGTTTTGAAAAATCATTAGAATAAACAGTTGCGAGATAAAAAAACCTCAAAATCTTACGAAAAATGCATGAATCAATTCCAACTGCAACTTTGGAACACAACTTATGAAATCACTGTAAAAAAAAACGATATCCACTAAAAGCCATTAGTAAAGAAGCGGCATGTCTCTTGCACAAGCCTTTAACCAACTTATATATAACTTAAGCAAATATAATAACGACGAAATATAGACCTCAAGTGGTCGATTAGCGAATCCCTCAAAGACAAATGTGAAGAAGATGGCAATTCCTTCATAGAATGCAACAGTTTCTGCCTCATTGTTTGAGCAGCAAAATAACTGGCTGTCGAATCTCGATGTTCAAATAATATACGATCACACAAAGACCAAGAATACACCTGAAACAATCCACATTCACTACAAGTTCAAGATTAAATCCATTTCGTATCCCATAAAAGTCTGTGTACAAGAACTCTTCTTAATAAAACTTACAGATTTCTGAAATTCGCCAAGCCATATGCTAGCTTTGCTGCATGCAGCATTGTCAGACCCATTTAGTACCGCAATTGCATGATATACCATCTCGATATTATCCATCCTTCAATGACTTCAACTAAGAATAACAATTTTTGATTTATGAATCCATACTGAGTCCGATCTCAGAGTAGATCCGCAATGATAATTTTCTCCGAAAAAAGAATTTTTTTTAACAGAATGGTGCGGCCAGACTTCATCCTTATTATCCTTATTTCTTGTATAACAATTAACTTCGAAAGAAAGCAATGCGGAAGCGTAGACAAACCTAAACTGAGCAAAATCAGGTGAGAAGGGAGTTATAAACGATTTATCCGAGCTTTTCATATTAGCAAATGAACTACTAGAAAAATGATGAAATGACCAACTGAGCGGTCATGAAACATAACAATAACGATAATGACATTGCTATGCATTAAATAACATCAGCGAAACTGTATCTCAATTTGAATAACACTTTTGAAAGAACAACCGCCAAGGATTTTTGCAACACTGCATTCTTAACATCGCCAGTATCAGTTTCTCTTCCACTGAATCTGACCTTACTGAGAATCTTTTTTGTACAGCGAAGTAGCTAGGGGGAAGGGAATATTAGAAGCTTTAGGAAAGCATCTCATATCACATACATTGTTAACAAACCTACGAGAATCAAATCATTAGGAACAGATGAAAATCCTCTCAATAAATTTAAGGTTACTTATGACCGTTCTAGCATGGTTGCACCATCTACATTGGGCAACTGATCAGCGCTCCCAATAATACGAATTATTATGATTTCATTTTTCCCAAAGTTAGTACTAAGAAATTTGGAACATTTTTCAGCATTTTCCGCGATATGACAAACAAAAAATAAAATAAATACCAGTTAACAAAGCACTGTGCTATTGCCAATAACCGTGTGGGGAAAAAATTAACCAGTCTAAAACGAAATTAAACACACTGTAAATTTGATACTTTATTTGCAAATAGAGAAAATTAAAAATGGAAACAAAGTGTAGTATATTAAACAACTGCAATTCTAGAAATCACCGTAATTCACCGTAAGGATTTATCAATTTTGCATGACTACTGAAATACATAAGATGATGTAAGCATAAATTAGGTAGTTTATGCTTAAAACCCCGTAAATGAATTTTTCTTAGACCATCGAAACCTGAAAAATTTGGTAAAATATCAAAACCTGAACTGACATAAGATATGCATGAGATAAAAGTATTTCAGAAGTAATTAGTGGAAGAAAATTAAGATACGACAGAAGGATTAACAGCTTTAAAGTCGAAAATACGAATATAGTAGACTGGACATCGAACTCATTGAAACAAATACAATAATAAAAATAATAACAATGATAAAAATGACCTGCGTTTTTAAAATTTATTTTTAACCGTAACAGCAGCTTCATCAGCACAAAAATCAATTATCAAAAAATAGGACTGCTAAATTTCAAATAGTTATGGACATAAACGATTCAAATGAGTCCATCACGACAAAAAAAACATCCCAAGCAACCATAACAGTTAACTGGCACGAACAGCAAATATGAGGAATTTCTTTGATTTAATAACTGAGAATCTTTCATTCCTTTATTCAGTCAATTCATATGAAAAACAACTCAAAAACGTTTCATGGCTACATACTCTAGTCTACAATATCAGAAAGAAATTTTTGGTTAAATCAATTTATTATTTAGCACTATTTAGCACGTGCTATTGATAGTTTACACAAGTCAGGCCCTTCAAAGTAAAAACAAATCAACTCTGGACTCAAATAAAGCACGCATACAGCACGTTTCTGGTGTAAATCCACCAGCATATCTACTTTTACTGATTTGTACGACATGCTGCAAGTACCCCATCCGAGACAAATCCTCAGGCTTTGGAAGTGGTGGTCCATTGATGGGAAGCTCTGGTGCACGATATACAAATGGCGCACCACTGATACGAACTGCTGCAAAAGATGCCGTATCGAGACGTTTCTGTTGAGCTTCTGTAATAAAAATTTGTACAGATAAAAAGCACAAGAAAAAATGAGTTAATCATAATTAATAAAGTGAATTAAAAATTTCCAAAGGCGATTTGTTAACTTATTTATATCAGTGAATTGCCTAAAGAACATAGAACTATTTTCGATTGATCAATTAAAATGATACTTTATTTTTTACCTATTTTAGATTTCTTTCGTCTTGCAGCTTCTTCTTTTTCGGCAAGCTCTGCTTCAATTTGTCGCTTTCTCTGACGATCCAAAATTACTTCTGCAGGTAAATCGGATTCACGAAGTTCATCAATTATTGCTTTAGATTTGTTTGAACTAGTCACTTTCCCAGATAATTCCTGAAAATTTCTCAGAACTAACTACTTGCAAAGATTTTCGAACAAACCATACTAATCAAAGAAAAATACTCACTTCATCTCCAGCACCCTCTACAGCAAGCTTTTTTCTTTTCTGTTCTTCTTCCAACGTTTGAAGGATCCATATCTGATCGTCGTCGAGCTAAAAGACAGTTTTTTCGGAGACTAATTTCAAAAATGGCGAATTAATCAATAAATTAACCGAATAACCGCTAGAAGAAATTAATCCTATTTGTTGCTAATTCTTTATGTAACACAATATTATTAATCTAATATACCTTGCGCTTATTTTTTTCGATAAGTTCACTGTTCTCTATTTTAAAACGATTAATTTCAGCTTCCGTTTCTTCAACATCAATATTGTAGGTCAAATTCATGACAATCGTTTCAAACCGTTCCAAATAATTATTGAAATCGCACAGCGTTGGAAAATCCACTCGTTTCAAATTGTAAATCTAAAGATAGCTGTTACAGCAAGAGAAGCCAACTTGATAAGTTCATAAAATAATAAGTATGTATGATCCCAACGAATTTTCACCTTTTCCATTAGACCAATCATATATGATAGACTTAACATAAAACTGGGAAAGAAAAGATCACCTTTCTAAGTTTTTTACGAATATGATTCTCTTTTTCGACCATGGGGTCGTCAAAAATTTGTTCCCAAAATCCTTTTTTCCATAAAATTTTTCCACATTGTGGACAAGGACCGCTATTGCGAGCAAACAGATTTTCCACACAATTCCTAAAATTGTCAGATGAGAAAAATACTATACTGAACTCTTTGTACAATTTTATCCTATAAGCTATTTCACGTTAATTGATTAAATCATCCGGACAATCACTTACTTGCACAGCGGATGACCACAATCATTAATCATCATCAGCATCGTTCGATTATTGTACTCCTTAGCTTTACATTTCGGACATTCGCGCATTTTACACTTTCAGAATGATTTCTCTGTCATGTCACCAAGAAGATTCTTTACCACCACTTTTTCCTTCTACTACAAGTTTCGAAATAGGATAACTCTGATATAAAGTGGACTGACGACGAATTACCTGTAGCAGCTCTTGACACTTCTGAAAAAGCACATATTTCAAAGCCTGAATTTTTGTCAATACTACCAGATAACCTGCTTATTATGAGAAATTCTGAAGGGATACAATCATGTTTGATGGAAACTACAGTGGCTGGCAAGTCACTGGATGTTTTTTATTATGCTACTCCCAATGCTTGACAGTTATTTAAAATTAGGAATGAATAAAACTTCATTACAATGCACGTCCCAAGTTATAAACTATTTGTCAGAATGACCTATAAAGCTCGAAATTACGAAGACGACAAATACCACGTGAAATTCGGTTTCTGAAATATCGTTGTTTTTCACAGCTGCCTTGAAATGGTCGCGTATTCTTCGTTTGAAAAACTCTCGATAATTATATTGCGGAAACTGAAAAACAACAGAGCAACAATTTACGAGTAGATGGCAGAATAACTTTTACAAGTAGTCCGGAAACGAAATTTCAATATAGGAATAATTTTTATGACTAAGTCCCTTCACATCAAGAGCCACTTGTAAGGAAATAGAATATGTGAATCTTAGCTAGCAAAGACGTCACCTCCAAAGTGGTAACGTGTGAAATTAAGCGTACCTGTGAAGCAGACCGTAGTAACTGTTTGTAGAGACAGATCCAGTCCGTCTGAGGAATACTTCCCATCCGATTCAATCACATCAATTACCTTAAATTAACCCCCAACTAATTAAAACGCTTTCTCTTTTCCGGTTCCTTCTTCTCCCACTTCCTCATACAGTGTTCCAAGTTCTTTTTATTGCTCCACACCCTCCTCATTTTAACTTTTTCCTCCTGTTTTCCTTTCTTTCGTCATTACATAATTGAATCATTCTCGTAAGTGTTCTTATCTCTAATCTTATCCCCCATATTATTTTTGTTTCCCTTTTTCTTTCCACCACGACGTCATTCACTCTCTAAAACATTGCAGTTTCATCGATCTTTGCTTCTCTTCTAAAACGCACTCTCTATTTTTCAGTCTCTGACCTATCACATTAGATCGCTGTTAAACTCGTTTTGTCTGTTACAGCATCGCGTCAATTTAAATATGCTGCTGACCTTTCGGCATGTTTGTTATTTCTTGGGGATTTAGTTGACTGATCATTGGATAGAGTGCAGAGAAGTCTTATTTTAAATGCTGCAAGTGGAGCAGTACATAAGTGAATCCAAACGTGCCTAATTTAGTATTCCTCCCAATAAATTACTTGCACGAGTTGAATTGACTAAAGAAGAAATTGAAAAGACTGAACCTATGGAATAAAATTGATGGTTAATTTCGAGTTATTATTATTATACTTTCATTTGGACAAATGTCGGGAAAATATGGAGAAAAGCTTTCTTGGAATGATACAAAAGAATTCTGCTGATTGTGGAACATTTTCTGTAGTACCGGTTGACAAGAGGTAAACTGAATAAATGAACAAGAGGAGGAATGCATCCTATAGTGATATCTTGCAATATGAAACAGCAAATTTTAATGAGGCGAAGGCACAGGTACTTTTGCACTAACCATGAAAATTAAATCGTAAAAGTGTGAATAGATTTCTCCAACTGCATAAGAAATTTTCTTTAACAATTGGAATACCACTTGAGCAATTTTGCTAGCAAAATTTCCTGACTCAATCAAAAAGTGTGGAGTAAATTTTTCTTGACTAGAAGCAATTTTATTAAACCCAAATTCAGATCAACTACAAATCGAAATATTGAACACGAGACAAATACTAATAGGTGTAGGCTTTCTGTGGAAATAATTCCATGATTCGGTAAAATTTAACACACAGTTATTTAAAAATACGATCTCTAAGCTCAGATGCACGGTCCAATTTTATGCAATTGTATCAGTTTCTTCGCATACTGGTATTAAAATAAGAGAAAGAATGATAACATATATGGCCCAAGACTTATTTCTAATCTTCACCTTCAATGACATACCACCAAACATATTTATTTTTGTACTTATTAATAAAAAATGTGTAGATTCTAGATTTTCCTGACTGAGACTTTAAAGTGTCTTTCAATTCAACAGTATTTAGATAATTATTAAGTTTGTCGTAATCACCTCTTTTTAATTCTGCATTATAAAAAAATTTCTAAAACATTTTATCTTGAGCAAAACTGAGTGACAAAGAAAGTATTTTTTAGTGAATAAATGGAAACTATCAACTGATTTCCTTTTACTATATTTCAAAAGCTATGGGAAGCGTTACGAGATAAAACACGTTAGAAAACATGAAAAAAAGACACGAAAAGAATCAATAGTTACAATGCCTTTGATATTGCTGAAATAGTCAAATATCAAAGCATCTTCAAAAATGGGAAAGATTTTACCACTTAATTTTTACCAATTATTAAATAGAAAACATTAATTGAGCTCAAGTACCTGAATGATTTCAAACAAATAAGAAAACAAAACTCAACAGTTATGTACAACAATATTGATGTTACATGCAAACGAACAACCTACTTTTGTATAAGTGAAATCAAAGAAAAGTAGTAATTATAGAATTTCTGAGGAAGCAAATACAAAAAATGAAACAAATGCAACCAACAGTAAAATAGCATTCTAATAGTACCACCTATAAAATAAATTTCACGGAAGAATGAGACGTTCAATGATACAAACACTAAATGTTCCCCTTCATCTTTGCTTCTACAGAATTTATGATTCAAAATTTGCTGTCTTCTAGTAGAATTAAAGCAATACATCAGTTTTAGCAGAACTGAAGCAATATATTTGCTCGTTCAGCAGAACTAGTTCCAAACCATCACTTTACGTATGGAAGGGAAATTATAATTGTCAAAGATATAATAATTATCTTAAGGTTTACAAATGTATCATATATGCAAGAAATGGTCCAAAAACACTGCATTTCATTCATATGTAAAGAAGAGGAAAGTTATCAAAAGTAATTATCAATATTTAAAAAAATTATTTCCTCTACTATTCGAAAATTTCAAGAAATAGATCAAATACAAAGTATTAGAAAATATTATAAAACAGAGGTATATTAAAAATACAGAAATTATAATGTTTTTCAGAACCATGGATGCAAGCGTGGGTCCAAACGTGCTAGATTTTCATCTTTACGAGCTGTTTGCGTCAACTGGGCAACACATTCAGCCAAACTGTCTGCTTTATACAAATCTGGAAAATTTTTTCTGTCGCCATTATTTAGAGTTCTGTTATATGATATGAACTAAAAAATTTCATGCTTAAAGAAATCAAATTATCATTAGAGGCATCGAGGTAGGAAAAGAGATACTACTCAAACAAAACCTATATAAATTATACAGGTTAGTGAGAATGGAGACAATTATAATACAGATTTCGTTTAAATGAATCGAAAACAAACTATTCAATCTGTTTTCCAATAATTTTCCAGCATTTCGTGCTAACTTGAAAATTTCTGCCACAGGTAGTTTCCTCTGCCGCGAGAATGCATCCCATAAAAAAAGCTGAGCGTAGGTGACAATCTTCCGTGCGTGTAAACACCGAATTGTTGCGACTATTGAACAATTATAGTGACCTGAGCATTGCAAATGATATATAAAGCAATTAACTTTAAACTCTGAAGACCAATCTTTTACAAAATATGGAGCTGACTTGTGAAACTATTTTTCATTAATCCAACTAACTGACTACTCTAATGACCAATTTTTTCTTTGCTTTAGGACAGTTATTAATGTGAACCTTCAACGGAGAATCCCAGAAACTTATGCAAATTTGGCGACATTCGATACGGTACTACTCGATCAACTTCAAGTTTCACTGAAATCTCATATACAATATTAAAGTACACTTAAGATTACAAGGTATAATGAAGCAAGTTTTGAAATTAATGTTACAGTTTCATATTCAAAATAATTCCGTTTACCAACCTTAATATATCCCATGAAAAATATAACTAAAATTATTATTTTAAAAACGAAACATACAAGTTTGAGAATTTAATCCAAAGAGATACTCGACATTCATTATTTGCCCCGTCCTCGTATTCAAACATAGGCCACTCATTGTTGCCGGATTAAGGTGAAGAATATACTCACAAATGGAAAGCATGGACATGTTTAATGCGACCTATGTTTAAATTTTCGAATATAACAATGTAAATAGTGCTATCGTGAATATTAATGACATTACTTAAATAGTTTGAATTATCGTCAGATTTTGAGCATTAAAAGTCAGGAAGTCAAGAGAGAAATTTCAGATTAACCACAGAATTTTTTATATCTGTGTGTTTGCTCCCTTCAATAACAACGACGAAAATGTTTAGGATATGAAAGAAATTAGTAACAAAGAGATATACATCCAGTGATTGTACATATGGACTCAACTGCTATAATGCACTACTGGAACTCAACTACTGTAATCAAAATACAGCGTGACGCATCTAATATACACCAGTACATCAAGTCAAACCTGTTTTCGAAGGGTGTAGTAGTGCGTAGGGTCGTCATAACGAAGGATGAGCCATTTCGAAAGTGAATCAGGAGGTAATATATTTTCCGATGTCATATGACGAAACTCATCAACCAAAAGCTGATTTGTTATATCAGGAGATTTTGTGGTACGGTCATAAAATCTGCAAATCTGATACCTATTCAACAAGCTTCATCGAGGCTGACTTCTACTTTAAAATCAGCCATTTATCAGTTATCGCACAAAATTTCGATCTAGACAGTAAATAAAGCTACAAATATATTTTAAAAAGTTTTCATTCTTTTCAGAGAAATCAGGTCCTCTTTGGACAGATAATGACAGAAGTTAAGGTTAGTTTTCATTATGGCCCAAAAAAAAAAAATAGAATTATGTGGGCCATTATTGTGGAAAGAAAACATTCCCACAGCAAAATATTTGTTTCCACTGAATTTTTACTTGAATTTATATTTCACAATAACTGTGTGTTTTAACAACGTTCCACGAATTAGTTTCAAATTCCGTTTGCAGACAATTTCTTGAACAATTTCATGAGCTGAAACTGTAAAATTCTTAATCATCAAAGATGCTCACCTCTCAATCAGTTTCGCAGAACAAGATATATCAGTTTTATTTTTTAATATCGCATTTAAAATTTCTTCAAACGTATAAAGAGAATTCATTTTATTAGTACATTCCAACAATGTTATGTCACCGATATATGCGAAATGAGGTACAGCTATTTGTAGAAATCGTCGGCATGTTTCCTGGAAAAATTTTTCAGTAACTGATATGCGGTAATTATAAATAAAGTGATTGGTTAGTGCTGAAATCTTTTCTGACTGGCTTTGAGAGTTAAAATATAGTTAAAAATAGAAGTTTTAATTAGAAAGCAAAATAAAGTTAATAAATAAAATAACAAAATTTGCACAATGAAACACTGCAATAAAAAACAGCAGACTAAAATCTGAAAATTTTGACCTTCTCCTTCGTAAGAAAATGGTTAATCAAAGCAAAAAACTGATGTATTCCAGAAGCATCCCTGCTTACACCATGGTGTTTAGTTAAATAATAAGAGTATACCTGAAAAAAAAAGAAAAGGTTTCTTTACTTCTTCACATAAAAATAAAAAAATGGATATCGTATTATCAATTAAAAAAGAAAAATAAGCAGATGAAAATATAAACATTGAAATTTAGCCCTTGGTGCAGAATTATTGTTTCCGATCTCTTGAAAAGTACTCATTTAGAATATTAATTTCTAAATTTATATAAAACAAATACATACTCTCCCACTAAGTGCACGAACAGAAATCCGACGTGTAATGACATCAGCTCTTCGTATCACAAAATAGTAGGGCATAAAGCGATAGATAATTGACGAAAATTCTTTACTCTAAAAACGAATAAATTAAGAATCATGAATATAGTTAAGCAGTTTATAAATCTTCAAGGAAACACAAAACATAACAATCAACTAAATAAATGATTTAATTCCTTGCTAAACGCATATTCATTCTTTCATCGTTTAAAAAGATGTTTATGAAAGCAAAAAGCTGGTGAAGCACCTCTGCTTGAAGATTGAGAAAATGGTTTCAAAACAGGTATACCTTTATTGCATAGTATCCATTAAAAATTTCAACATTTGCAACTTTAGATGAATAAGATGCAAGAACTTGACTGACATTTCGTATCAACTTTTTACTAAAAAAAGAGAAATTATAAAAAAAATTATACATCTCTAAGGATATCCGCCTCTCATCCATATCGTTATTAAAACCACTCTATTTAGGAAATACTTTGTTCTAGCATTAAATTAACGTCATTTTTCTGGATTATAAGCATGTTACGGCACTTTTTTCACGCTTTCTTGAAAAATCCTTTTGATAACATCCGATGATTAACCAGATGTTTTCATTTTTCGACTTTTTTGCTTCAGCTGCTTTAACTGCATCACTTTATTGCCGGAAACAGGAAGAGCAATTTTAATTTGCTCTTCCTAAATGATGCATTGAAAACAAAGTAACCTCGGCAATTTGTCGAATTTTGTAGCCAGCAATGATGACCATTTCACAACAATTTTTAGTAAATCTGTCAACTTGTCGTTTCTTCCTTTTTGGATGTCAAAATCAGATTCGATGTCTTGAGCACATTTTTTTATATCCTGAAAGAAAAACAAATACAGCTGCTTTTAACAACAGGGAATTTCTCACATGGATTTTCATCAGTTCGTCTTCACAATACATAAACAAACTACGTGACTCATTTTTCACTTTCTATAAATGGATTTCACCACTGAGAAAATAATTCAGCAATTCAATATTTATTTCACTGAGGAAACGCTAGAAAATACCTCATTGATTTCTCTGAATCCAGTGAAGTCATTCAAAGAATATCGCCAGTTTTTGATTTCCGTAAGAAAATCTTCGGGGATCGAAAGAGATGTTAAAGAATCGAGATTCTTATGAGCAAATCTGTAGTTCAGCATATCGTCTTTTTAATAAAATTATAATTATGGTTATAGTTATTTACTTTTACCCTGCATTTCTCTACATTTAAACAGGATCAAATTCAAAATCAGATCCAAATACAGTGAAAAAAAATACACAGACATTTCATCAAGCGCCAAGCAAACAACAAATTCCAGACTAATTACAATATTTTAATAATGATTGGAATCCAAATAAAATCCTCTCAGCATGAATCTTTTTGCTATAATTGCTGACATATTCTAATAACTTACACAAACAATCGGTCTTTCAGCTGGTTCACTTTATGAAATGTGCGCTCCAACCAATGCTCTTTCATGCTATTTAGTTCGCACAACAGACCACAAAGAGACGATATTTCGACAGGTCGACTTTGACACAATTTTCTAATTATATCACGGAACAATTCTTGCGAAGTTGCAGGATCACTTTGGTCATTCTTCAAAGGGTCAAGAGCTGAAAACACAAAAAACAATGAACAAAATATATTTTCTCACACTTTAGAATGCGATAACTGAAGCAATAATTTCCGTATCAACATTGTTAGTATATTAAAAACTGGAAATAAAGCAGATACTTTGAGTGAATTGTAGGACATTTACGGATTCACACTTTTTAGTGGAGTTTTTTAACCGCTCAATAACTTACCAACAACTATGGTTGCAAAAATTTTAGCGTCTTGTAACTTATATGCCACGACATATTTGTATCTCAAACAAAAATATTTGTCACAAAAAATTAACAACAATCATGAGCCAAATCTATAGACAGATTTTTCTGCAATATTCTTGATAAGAAATATGCATTGATATTTCATTCTTCCTAACCATGTCACTTGAGGGATAAGTCAGGAATTCTATCTATAGTATGCATCAAAACTCCATAATGCTAATTCTACAAAATGATAAACAAATACTAAGCTCTAGGATCAAACTTATGAAAATTAGTAAATATAACCTGTAGAAACATTTTCGAGAATAAAGTCAAGCGGCTGTGAAGCAGCAATAGCATAGAAAACTTGTTGTTCGCTTGATTCACCAACATGTGAAATGATATGCGCTATGGCTAAGGATGGACGTAATTGTAATTCAGCAACCAATTGCGGTAACCTTAAATTGATGACCTGCGAATTTTTTAAAAATATTCAGCAATAACTACTATCACTCTTCCGACATCTCATTGTACTTTGGTGACAAGACTTGAGCATAGTGAGTAATATATTTCCTGTATTAAAACTGTAAAAATGGTTCAAAAATTGAAGTTCCAAAGTAGCTGAAATAGAGTCCGCATAAAAAGTAGAAAAGGTACTGTTAAAAATCTATAAGATGAACTACCAGGGTAGCCAATTGTTCGCCGATATACCAATGCCATGCTTTTTCAACTTTGCGTCTACTTCCTTTTCAGCTCTATTCCCATAAACCGACAATTTCTAAATAAAAAAGAATTATTTCTAATCATTCAATTTGGAAATGGAAAAAACTAATCGAGAACTGACTTTCACAAGCCACAATAGTCGTGCAATATATTTCCGTGCTCTTAACTCATTTTCCATTCTAGCACCTTCCATTATTCCAACCAACGCTTCCATTCCTGCATTCAGTGCGGCTTCCTCTGTGCTAAAAAAATCGTTATGACTAATATGAAATATCAAGGACTACTTAATTAGAACTAATTAAAGAGCTGTTGAGCGAGGCAATAAAGTATTATGATATTCAACAAATCACTTTTCGAACTACCTCTTGGTCTGAACTTTGCAGTTATTCTTTCTTCTCACTAATAATTGTCGTAAGCTTTTACTTAATTTTTTTCGAATACGAAAAAACCAAAGAATTCAAATATGACACACTTTTCAGCATCCAATCGGCTTTCAAGGAAATCAGCCCAGTGCAACCATACAGAATTTCCACCAGCAACATTTTCGTGTAGTAAAGTTGCGGTTTTATACGAATGATTTGCATCTTCATATCTAAAACTTGAAAAATAACTCTTGTTCGGTAACTGATTTAAATCACAACTAAAAACACATCAAATTTATGGATTTAGGGTTCCCTTATTATTGATAAGAACTTTCTGAAAGAACTTACTCCTTGAGTTTCGTCAAGATCCTTCCACGCAAGCAATAAAGTTTGGCAATATTTTCTTTCGTGAAAGCATTAATGGTAGTTTTCTGGACAACCGAGAACGCATCCATTAATGCACTGTGCCTTTGTTCTTCTGTCAAACTAGGCATGGATGCCCGGTGCACCAAACACTTCAAAAATTCTCTCACCGAAAAATAAGCGTCCATTGCTGGTAAAGCAGGTAGAGTATGTATCCTTAATTTGATTTTAAATTATAATTGCAAAACTTAACTTTAATGAGCTTTAAATTTCACAGCTATTTATAAATGCAAAGAAAAGAAGTAGCAAGTTAATGCGTTTTTGGATTTCGTGAAGCAAAAAAAAAATTAAAATTTAGTGGGCTAATATCCAATTCCAATATTAACTAAAGGCGAAATTTCAAAAATTGCATACCTGCTTAGTTTGTCAATAGCAATGTCTATGAGCCCAGCTTTCCGAGCAGCACGCGCTATCATTATCTGCGAATTTGCCGCCGAATAAAAAGGAAGTAAACCCTGTTGAAACTGATTCGATTGGTTCTAGAATAAAATTTTCAAAACTAAAATTTTAAAACTACCTTACCAAAAACCTATATGTGATGCTTACTTATTGTTCCTTTCTTGATATCCCAAATTATGAAAGAAAGTGTATTTGCAAAATATATGACAATCTCCAAAAATAAAATGACAGGCAATGAACACACCTCTTCCATTTGTTGAAGAAGTCTGATGGCAGTATTGTAATGATGAATACGCCACTGATGAATGTCGGTCCAAAATGATAATGGATCTGATAAAGCATAGGACCGACTCCTGAAAACTTCATGTTTTCCAGTGGAAAGAAAGTTAACTTTTGCCGTATTCATTTTAACACATTAAATTTAGTGATCAACAATAAAATGTGGACCTTAGTGATGATGGAATGCTCTGAAAAAGTTGCTGACACATTCAAACAGCTCTGCTCTGGTTTTCTGTCAGTTCAATTATTTGGAGAAAATTTTACTTCCATGTGATCGCGAAGTGTCATAGCTTGTCATTTTTTTTTCCATATCATCGCTTTTGCAGATTAATTTAGTCATATTTAAAAAGTTATCAGTTACTAAAAAAAACCTCTGGGCTTTTATAATATCCATAAAAGGTACTAACTGACCTCCACGCTTTTACTACCGATTTAACATCACCAACTGGATTTGATGGCAGCGATACTTGACCACTAACTTCCGGATGATTAGTGAGAACACTGGCTTCTTGAACCTCCTGAATGAGATTTGCAGCCTAAAAAATGATAGCAGATTCATTTCTATTATCACGAGCACTTTGCATAATTAATAAATATTTTGACCTTTGTATTACTTATATAAGCGGCCGTAAGAATCCGTCAAAAAAAAATAAACATAACGATCTCGATGCAACTGATATGTAACTATGCACTAAGCAAAATTAAATAAAATTTGTTTATTTCGAAATGAATACGGAACTTATAATCATTTTACAACTACCATTACCAATGAAAGGAAACTATGGGTAAGGGTTAGCTACCTGAAGTATGCTGACATGACTGAAAGAAATAATTTCTGGTAATCGTTTCCATTCCATGATTAAATCTTCGCGTGCTGCCTCTAATTCCCTGTTGATCCGAACATGTAGTAATTCCGTACCCCTATCTTCTTGCACAGGATAATGATTCTACAACAAAAATAAGTGTCAGGTAATAAGAATATTGAATGTGGCTGGCGCTGAAATTTTCACATAAATGACAGCAATGCAGCAACGAAGTAAACATGTACTGCAAAAAAATTAATAGCAACTTGATGAACTGAAACAAATCCTTTAGTTTGCAATTTTCTTTCAGTTCCATTTTATGGTTATTCACTTGTTTTTATCTCAGCACAATAACTTCTATACTTTAGTGCGATGTCAGTCCCATTCAGCACGCAACTTTAATATAAACTGCTTAAAAATTTTAATCTATCAACAATCAGGTATCAATACATTATTGTGTTAGGTAAATTATTGAAAGTAACTGATAAAAAAGATATTCAATACTTTTCTATCATAGCATTTTTAAAAAACAGGTGCTATTAAAAAAATCAAACAATGAAAATAATAAATATTATAGGTTGCCTTAATCATTCGATCGGTATCTAGAAGTGATCGAGTTTTGTAGAGGTAAAAATCAGGTACACTTACCATTAGCATAGCTTTGTAAAGATAATATTTGTAATACAAGTCTGGTTGTGTACAACCTTCTAGCTGAGTAAGAGTAACTCGAAGCAAGTTCCAGTCATTAAGATGCCAAGCTGCATCTGCAACAATACCGAGACCGTATACAGCAGGAGTATTACCAAAATGTAATAAAGCATCCCATTCACCAAGTTCACGTTCACAACTGAAAAATTACAGACCTTATTAACAAATTTAAGAAACTATGACAAATTTGATTACAAATGAAATACTGGATACAATATATAATATAATTGCACCGGAAAATATCAGCAGTTGCAACTGCATAGGAAATATCTCACAATGGTGCAGCAACGTACTTAAACGCAAGACAAGAATAAGCGCCTGTCTACGATGCTTACAATCTAATTTATTAATATAATTTCTTTAGCTAATCACAGCCACTAAAATTATATTAATAATTAGTTAGTAAACAGAGTCATATAAGAAACTTTGTTAAAAAATTTTCAACTAACAATGTAAAACAAATCGCATGACATAATGAGCTAACAACTGTCACAGTAAACAAAACTATTTTATGCGCAAAGCTTCTTTTCAATTAGTGTAAATTTCTGATGAAAGTAAGCAATAATTTAATTATCAATTACCTAAATTTTACTCAGTGATTAGCTATTAATTAAAATGACACCATGAAAAGTCAAAATGTGCTTAGATATCAAAATATACTTAAAATCTAGGACTTTTTGTGCATCCAATATAACTAAATACTGCCAAGAGGGCGCATCCAGAGAATTTATTGTTTGATTAGTTTGTGTCTTGAAAAATTTAACACTAACTCGGCCCATAATCTGTGCCACTCACGTAGCTCGAATCCAAGCGCAGGAGTTATATCTAATTGCCTGCTGGTACCGCAAGGCGCAACCATACGATCATTGATAGTCTCAATCGACTCCCTTAAAGTTTTTTCTGCTCGTACAAAATCACCTGAAGAGTTCTACCAGTATAAAAGAGAAAAAAATTTATAAAACATGGTAAATTTTGATATTCTTTTTGATATTTTTGATATTCTCAAAAATTATTAGAAAAATTATCACATTAAAGCACCGAACAATTAATAATAGCGAAAGTGCTGAAATGATTATCCGAATATCCCATTATTACGCAGAACATTGTATAAACACAGACAGAACATGGTGGTATAACACTTTCCAAACGCTCTCAAAAATCGTTTGTTTTATCCATTTTACCTTTAACCATAAAATGGAGAATACAATATCCGTAATACTGAAGTTTCCAAAGATTAAACTGGGATCCCTAGTTCTTCGGTAAATCGCGTAACGATGCGACACCCAAAAACAATATCAATGCAGCATGGAAATCCAAACCTTCGTTATAATATTCAATAGCTTTCGAAGTTTCTTCAAAATAAGCACGACGCTTCCAAATTGCTTGATACTGGTCAAATTCGGATAATTTGGAATATAAGAGAATCAAGTTATTCAGCGTTGTCTAAATTGAAAAAAAAAGGAAGCAGTAAATCTCAAATTATTTAAAAGTTCCAAAAAGACAAAAGACAATATTCCAGATCACATACCATTTGCATATTTGTGAGTGCTGGTTGTGAAATTTGAATCAAAAATAAGTTGTTGGTGAATGCAGGAATTTTCGCTGCCTCATCTTCAAGTATCATTAATCCACGATGCCATGCACGATGTCTTATTGAAATATACTGAAAAACAAATACATAAATATAAATTATGCTAAAAAATATAAAAAATTGTGCTTCGTTCCGCAATTAGGGTAATTTTCATCATAAAAATTTTTGTACAAATCCATTTATTTAATTCTTGCTTTCTGAAAGTAAATCTGAATTCTTAGCCATTTCCGCTGACAGCATGAATGGTACCAGGTCTTAATTTCCTTTTTGAAATTTTCGATATTATATAAATATACCATAAGCACACTTGGATGAATTGGAATAGGAGGTCGACAGCGACATACAGCTTCTAGAAAAGTAGCAACTGCTGAATGAGGTAGATCTCTTTGTACAAGATGACATCCAGATGATAGAAATGGTACCATTTCGGCACTAAGGGCAGCCTGCTTGAATTCTTGTAGATTTGACCATAATGAAGAGAACAATTTTATCCAGATCTTCGACGCTAAATCATTACCTGCAATCCATGAATTTAAAAAACTTAGTTTCTTAATTTATTCAGAAGTCGATAACTGTGATTATTTTAAAAAGCGATAAAAACATGATGGGACAAACAACTTAGCTTTATCTCACAGAATCTTTATAATGAAAAATATCACAAAATCAAAAATATATTTAAAAAGTGTTTTAAAGAGTTGTGTTGTGTTTTAAAGAGAGATAAATGGATACTGAAGAGTTGTGAAATTAAGAAGTTCAAAGAAATATTGAAAGTCAACATACTACTATAGACAAGTTCCAAATAACTTGGAAGAATATCAGTGATTTGAAATTTGGCAGCCATTTCAAACAACTGAACTTGCTGCTCGACAATTAAAGTAGTCTGTAGATCCTGTGTATTTGCTGTACTACAAATCGGTATGTTTACTTCTAAAAGACAAACTAAAATTATTTTTCGGAATGTAGAAATTACCAAAATTAATAAAAGTTAACATTCAAATATGTTTAGCTAGAAAAAAGACGAGCTTATGATAAAACAGAATGACAACTTCCGTCTCTTTCTGAAACCTAAAATACAATACAATTAATTTGTGACAATAAACATTTATTATTTTAAAAACCTGTCAGTGTCTGAGTCCCAGAAGTCTCTATAAAATCATCTCGCTTGCTTTCAGTTATGTCCATTGTCCATGATAGAAAATCACCATCATCACATGCTTCCGGATGATCTCCATGTAATATTTCCAAATCAAGTATTTTTTCAAATTTACGCCATAACGTGCAGCAATTCAGTAGTACTATTTGCTCTGCTCCTGTGACACTCTTGTCCTTCTGTTCGTCCATTATTAATGATAGCAAAAGCTAAATAAGAAATTTTTGAAAGATATAAAGAAACTTAACATTCACAACAAGTTTCTTTCATATGAATTTTTATATATCACAAAGATAAATTCCAAATCACCATTAAATATCCTATCAATAAATATATTATAACTTACATTGATGCAATGTTTGATCCAAAAATACTGCTGCATATCAGCCCAATTCTGCGATGTAATGATGTGATATAATCGATCACAAATATTCTTTGGTACTTGGGCATCAAATAATTTGAAAAACCGAGAACGCAATGATTCATCCTACAATCAAAGCTAAAAACACGACTAAGAAATCAACGAAACAAAACTGTGCAGTAAATAACTTCTGTTAGATCAAACTGGTTCAGACTCGCAAATATATAAAAAATATCTCACTGAAAACATTTTTTGATAATTGTCTGATAATACCAAGTCAAAATTTTAACCTGCGAAATCGAAAATCATTGGAAAAAAAGAATACATGACTATCTAAAGTTAGTAAATTTTTAAAAAAAATCAATAATGGTCACCTGAGCACAAAGCCCCCAATGAAAAGCACTATTAAGTTTTGCTAAGGTTTCGCTAGTTCGTAGATGAGCAGTTTCATAAACGTAAAGGACCGTCTCAAGTAGTATCTTCAGTAAATCTCCCGATTTTTCATGACGTTTATGCGCTTCCATTGTTTGCACAAGCCTTATTAAAAGAGGAACACCTTGATTCAGCTGCCGCTAAAAATACATCAGATTGTAACTATATCCTCAAGAGTCTATTGTTACTTCACAACACTCGTACACAACGAAGTCTCCGGTATTTTTTTCTACTGGAAATTATGGCGACTCCTCTTAATAAAATATTGTCCTAAAGAAATAAATCCAGCAAAAATTATAAACAAAAACAAAAAGTAAAGATAAACGAACCTCATCGCCATTACGCACCATAATGTCAACAACACGAATAACAATGTCAAGAACACGATCGAATGGAGTTTTATCTATAAGTGGTGTCAAAATGCACTGCCCGATATTGCGCCGTGCTTCGGGTGGTATTGTATGAATACGAGGCCGAAGAAGTTCTAGTGAAAAAATTATTAACTCAGTCAGCGCATGCCCTGAAAACTATATTGATTTTGACATCATGACAAAAATTTAAAACTTTTGGGAAAATGTAATTAAATCCAATTTAATTTCTATAGTGTTTCTCGATTATTACAGATGAAGGTACATTCTAAAATAACATATATATATGACTAAATTTAGCGTTCAGATGGATCAGACTATTACTTGATAAAATCTGAAAAAAGATTAAAAGTAAAGACCTTTATTTTCAGTACATGAAGAGACGTGTTCGCGAACAAGTTTTTGGACAGCTTTTGTGAATGAACTCAAACACATTGTATCAACGTACGCCGGTTGAATAACGCATATAGTGCGCAACAAATGGATTGTCGCAAACACACCAGTCATTGGCTGGCTTTGTCCTCTAAAATCGGGTTTATCTTAGCCGACAGAAACTTTGTGTCATTCTTCACCTCATGTACAAGACAAAAAATTATTGAAATCAAAGTATTTCCATTTAATAAACTACAATTATGCAAAAAATCATCAACTATCAATATATGTCGAGGTTTTTCAAACATTTTGAATGTCTTCAATTCCCTTAAAAAATTGCAAAAAATAAAGGATAAGAAGTTCAGTTTGCAAATTTTGAACTTTTCATAATTGGTGAATGTATCATTAATGAATTTTGTGACAAATTGATTGATCGTTTCCAATTCATCTAATCCCTCCGGTGAGCACTTCGTTTTCTCGAATAATTTAGAAACAAGCTGGCAAAGACTGCGCATTACCTTAAATTAAATTCAAAATAGCTTCCAGAATCTCACAGGAGAATGAGTAAGGATAGCCAATTTGTTTAAGGAAAGTTTGAAACTATCATACTTTTCAAACTCATAAAACTTACAGCATTATCTTGGCAATTTAAACAGGCAACGATTCCGCGCTGTAACATTTTCACATTTGTAACAATAACTTCTTGTGGCTAAAAAATTTTTTTTGTAATATCATAATCAGTTGATTATTTCGAAGTTTAACTTCAAATTGTTTTGCCTTTTTTGCAATGTTTGCCTTTCGGCATTAAACTGACACAAAAAATATGCAACAAGATTAAAAACAGAGCTAAAAAATGCAATTTAAAAAACTGGAAAAAAACCCGAAAACTGTCTATTTGTATATGCGTCATACTTTTGTCCCTTAAAAATAGAATCCATGAAAAACATTTTCAATAAAAGAACTTTTGCTAACCAAAATAACGACAAGGTGTGTAATAATATCTAGTGATGTGTGCAATTGTGAGAAATGGTGAGCAACTGTGGTCTGCTCCCGAAATTGCTGAGTTACAGCCTCTGCAGCGACTGTCAACTGTTTTTCCAACCTATAAATATACTGAATGTTCATCCCCCTCTTCTCTGTCAAAATTGTTCTCAAATCTTAGAAATCTATCACTGAATAGTAATTGGAAAAAAATCTCTGCAATGATGGCATTCTATATAATTCACATAGAATATGTAATTCACAGTCCACACTTTCAAATGTAATGGTTTTCTGTGGGATATCAATCGAATCATACTTAGTATTTTATAAACTTTAGCGCAAAACATTTTTAGAAAAAATTTTAAATGTATGGAATTTTGCAATTAATTTAAATATTGTTGTCATTCACCAGGAGAGCCTGAGATTAGCGGTAAGTCCCCAAAGATTGCTTTTCAAGCATGCTCGCAACAGGCCTAAGCATCGTTTGCATAACTGTTCCACCGCTACAGCATGCTGAGTTGGATTCTGCGTAAGGTTCTGTAATTTTCATGCTTCTTGCTTCAGCACAATCAGATCTGGTTGAACTAATCTATGAAATTTCTATAAAATAAATAATTAGATATTTTCTGGAAGTCTCTTTGTTCAACAAATATAAAAACTGACTGCGTCAGGTACTGCGGACGATAATTTTACAAGCATATTAACAACATGGTCCACGTGTGCTTTCTCGATTGGTCGGTGTATCTAAAATCAATTATATTCATTTATCCGAGCTATTCATTATTATCAGTATGTGAAAAGCAGAATTAAAATTTTTGCAACCTAGCAATAAAAAAGTCAACGCCTGATTAAAAATAATTTATATATTTTTTTCATTCTGTTCTTTCAGAGTCAAATTCACAGCTCACATTTTCTACATCCTTGTTTTGCACTTGCGATAAATTTGAAGGCGAAGACTGCTGATGTAACGAAGGATTTCCTGTTGTCTCAGTTTGCGATTGTTTACTAGTTTCTGATCTTTTTTCCTAAAATTAGTTTTCTAAATAACTCTCAAAAAAATTAAAATTTCTAGCTTGCGCTTTTTAAAATTCCTAAAAAACATAATGTCATACAGCTTAGGACTACGAATGCAAGTATTTATTCAATAAGAAAAATCAGAATCAACCTATGTTCTCCAAATAATGTAGCATCCAAACCTTTTTTCAAAGCTTTCCACACAAAACAATTCCAATTAAAACGATTAATTGAAAAAAAAAATGAAAATGAATCTACCAATTCTTCCGTTTGCTTTAGTCGCCATTGCTCCCATTTGATTACCATTTCACATACATCAATCGCAATCCGTCGATTTTCCAACGTTCCCTGTGCTAACATCAAACGCTGAACTCCATTCAGTATAACTTGGAGCATTTGGTGACGTACATTGTAATAGATTTTATAATGACGAACTATCATTGATCTACAAGAAGATTTTTCTTTGTTCATCAAATTATGAAATTACATTTCAGTCATAAACAATGAGTTCCGATATGAAAAACTTACAAACAATGAAAAATTTGTGAGACATTGTGGCCCTCTTCAACAATAGTTTTCTTAACAACAGTCATCAATTGTTTATGACCATCATCCATGCGTAGTGGCACAGATGGAGTTAATATATCAAGTGAACGTTTGATAATATCTTTCGGGTCACTAAGAGTTGCTTTAAGCAGACTTAAAAAAACCTGCAAAAACAAAACTATCTTAGCAAGTCACACTGAGACATTCAATTTGAAAATCTATATCATAAAAAGCAAGCATGAATTCTATAACATGTACGAAGCACGAAAATTGATGGTATTTTTTCCCTTTATCCAGTAAAATTATAGATCTAAACATAAAAAAAAAAAGTTAAAACACAGAAGAAAAAAGAGAAGGAAGCCATATGAAAAAATAACAAAAAACCTGCAAAACGATCTTTCGATTAATATTAAATTGATTGATAATATTAGCAATCAACAAATGACCCATGTATTTCATCGTTTGATCTTGAGGTGTCGATGACAAACAAGGCCAACCCAAAAGCATTAAAATGCGCAGACGATTGCCCTGCTTCCTGCAGTCTCTGTCATAACAACAAACGATTGAGACAGCTTTACAATTTTTTTAAAAATTTCATTATCTTGTTACCGTTGCTAGAATAGCGTCATCACCAAAGGAAATAAAATTCCCCGAAGTGACAAAACTTTAATTAAAATTAAATGATCGAGTGAAACACAAACTTTTGTGAGAAATCATGTATATGAGTTGGGCAATTACTGACAAATAGGCATCCTAGATGGAATAGTTGAATAAGCATTGCATCACTTATATGAAATCTGTTTCGATCGAGTACTTTTTGGCAGACTAGTGAAATCAAATTGTTATCATCCACATCATCTGGTTTTGCTGGTGTACCAACCACCTGAAAAAGGAAACCTTCTTTGTTTTTTACACTTATATTATTTAGTGTTCAAGGACATAAAACTTTCTTTGAAGAATAAAAATTATTTCTCATCCCTTAACAAAATAGCATTAATTATTTGGAGTAAGTTAATACGACATCTATGCCACATTAAAGGACATTCATTTTCTTTATCGAAGTAGTTATGCTGAAATTTCTATTTCTACAGAAAGCAAAACTCAATCAAGAAGTTCCAGAAAAGTAGTAAATGCAATAAATGCAACAATTAAACAATAATTATCGTCAACTTACTACATCAACATCGTAACGTTCAAACGCATAATGTAGTGAAGGGATGACAACATATTGAAGCATTTTAACAACGTTCAAATCGTGAGCTGTAGCTGGATCTTTTTCAAACATTGCAACTATTCGTTTTAATGCATTCTGCCGCCATTCAATAGGATATTTCTATAAGTACGGATCGCATGTAAAGATATTGAAAACTTTTTAAAAATAAAAGAATAAAATAAAATTAAAGGATAAAAGAAAACAAAGTAAAACCAGATATTAGTTGATTCCTATAATCTTTTTACCATTTTTGTAAAAAAAATTTTTCTTGCAGAAAATCAGATCATAAACAGCTCAGGGACTGATTCATCTAATGCGCAGTGGCATTAGTAACATTAGCAATTCAATTTCAGTGATCCATTAAAAAGCTGTCGGTATTTTCATACTACTAATACATTGTAAACATAATTAAATAATAACACACAAAATTTAATAGATCAAAATTTCGCATCCCAAGTTTAATAATGAACTGCACTAAAATAAAGTTACCGGAATAATTTCCTTTTCGATAAATAATCTAACAAAGGTGAAATCACCAATATAATTATTCGTAAACACATGACAAAGGTCGAATAGGATATCAATGCGATCGATATTGGCTCTGAATGATGGATCGATGAAAATAAAAATTGATAAACTTTGCCATTTTGAGTGACAGATTTAATTCAAAACAGCATTTTTAATTGATAAAGTGTAGAAATGATTCAAGAATTACTTGAAATAACGCAACATGATCAGAGCTGCCAATTTAGGAACATCGTAACGCGGTCCTTCCAAATAATCCTGAAAGAGTTGAAGTTTAGTTTCCCGATGAAGTAAAATCAAGGAATAATGTTTTTTTTTTCCTTATTTCACTTCATCTTTTGAATTTTTTGGTTGCTGCAATCTAATATCTGCTTATGTAAGCTATCTTTATCCTAGTTACTGGTTAAAGTAGTTTTGTCTTCCAGTATTTTTTGGATCAAAATTTATCTGATTGTACTAATGATTTTGCGCAGGACATCCAGAAAAAGAACTGAAAAAAAACAAATAACAGATTTTCATCTTTTATTTTTTGATAATGGCATTTCCATGCATCGAATATTTCTTTCATATAAATTCAACCCAAATAATCGATTGAAACAAAAGTACAAACGAAGTCTATGTTTATCCCTCACCTTGCATGTGTACCGAGCGCGGAAATCCTTATCATTCCACAATGACTGTATAACTTTGATAATTTCGCCAGCACCGTTTCCAGCCCAGTTTGGATGACGTTTCCCGATACTAACAATTAGTTTCATCGTTAACATTTCCATATCATAGATTGATAAGTCACATTTTGTCCAAGCGCCGGCTTCATTCTACAATATCGAACAAATGAACATGGCATAAAATTCAAGCCAATAACTCAGTTAAGTACAAAATTTAGTTTCAATTCATTCAAACTTTACGATATTAAATGAGAAAAAAACATGAACTTTATTTTCATTATGACTACTCTTTCCCGAAAAATCATAGACGCCCAACCTATAATGAAACCGCCAAGAGCAAAACATTTGATAATAATACAGAGAAAATTTAAAACTAATTTACCATAGCCTCTCCTTGCAATAACTGAAGTAAAAAACTATTGTCTGCCATTAATTTTTCCTGAACTGCTATTGCTTCTTCATGCTTCACCACGTACTGTAAAGAAATTTGATTAAAAAAGGAAAAAAAGAATCTATCAACTTATGGTTTAACTATTTTTTATATTTCATGCTTATTTTCCGTTAATCATCAAGTTGACGACATAAATTCTTGCAACATGTAAGTTCATAGAAAAATGAAGAATTCTCATACTATTCTAACTAGTGACTATCATGCCTCACACATTTCATATCAAATGGTTACGAACAGCTGGAACAACCTTAAACAATTCACGATTTCCCTGCTCGCAGATATTGCTGCTCATAACAAAAAAACGCAGGGTTTCCAGTGGAAATCGCGTTAAATATTTCATTAGCGGATATCGCCAACTTGTGCTGCTCTGCAAAATTACACATTATTAACATATTAGTCGTGAGAAACCAAACACATCTACATGAAAAGAAGTTTCAATTATTGCAGCTTCGTGTTTCAATCACTGATTAGATTTACAAAGATTTTTTTTAGTTATTTAGCTATCTTTTCGCTACGCTATTCACGATTGTAAATGAAACTTTTTTTATAATTAAGGATGTGCTAAAATGTGATATAAGGCTTACAGCAAACTGTCACCGAAGAATATTCCACATTCTTCATGACATTTATAGAATCAGTTCTAATTTCTAACTGATTTAATCTCCGGCAAATCAGATATACTTTATTCTATAAACCGGTACATGTCTGAGTAAAATTCTTTGAATTTTGAAAAACAACAAGCACACAGAATTTCTAAAATGCGGTACAACAGCATATAGATCAGAATGATGATTTCTGTTAATCGAAAAATATTACCTCAAAAGCGACAGCTGCTTCCCACTTACGAACATGTGGTATGATCAAATGTACAAAACTAGCATCAGCAAGAGGAAATTCGGCCAAAATCTCTAGTAATATTCTCCCTACTTTAACATCGTTTGCCACAACATCATTTTGGTTAGGATCCGGAAATTTCCGAAAAGCATCCTGAATTGACATAATTTTGTAACTATCTTGCCCGTTTTCTAACATTATTCGTATTGTTGTCAACAGTTGTTAGTATTTTACAGTCTTGAAGAAAATGTCAAAAATTTATGAAAGATACCAGCATATTGCTACAAAATGTTTCTGAGAAGATATCTGGAAATAGTCGTAGGAGATAAAGCAGACGCAGAACGATGTGCTTTTGTAAGCGACTGTCAGATTGAGATAAAACGGTAATCATTGATCCGAGATCCATTTTAAGTAAATGTGATCGCAATCGATCTAAGCTCAACGCCTAAAACGAAGTTTATATAACAAATAAAACAGAAAATAAAAATATGAATTGTTTTATACAGAATAAAAATGTTACTTTACACAAAAGAGGAAATAATTGGTAGATGATAAATCTAAGTAAGAAACAACTTCTTTCAATGCGCCGAATGCAGCATCTTGAATCTCCTCATTTTCTTCCATAAGACATTTTAAAATCGCTTCGAATATTTGCTTATGATGTGGAAACAATGGATCATGATCCATTGCCTGCTTTAATTCTCCACAAGATGCAATACAACATGCTACCAGTGCCCCTAAATCTTGCAAAAGTTCCTTCTTTAATTTGTGTTTACTTTGATTAGAATGAATATCTGTAATAGAATCTTGAGAAATCAGCAATATTCAAGGTAGAAAAAACAATAATATTCCAAGTATAGAATAAATGATAACTTCAAATAAAAGAAATACCAACTTATAGTTGACTGTCGTAACGTGATGAGGCGTGAATTGAATTGCGAATGGTGCATGATGGCAAGGAATCGAGTTGAAGGTTTATAATTTGGTTTGTTCCTTAGTTCTTTTCCAGTAGCATTGCAAATAGATAGAAGCTGCGAAACGTAATCATTTTCTGGATATTTGTCGAATATAAATTCCAGCGGTACTGGTCGAACAGAAAAAATGAAAACAAAAGAATCCTAAAATAGATTACACATTTTAAAGTTTAAAGATGATTTATCTTTAAGCACTTACATTTGCTCGCCCATTTTAAATTAAATAATCTACATAGTTAATAAGTTTATGATTATTCAGAAAGTAAAAGTAAAAGACCAACATATTTACTGCTGCACACCAAATGGTAGCGTTTTTTTTTAAAAAGACGAAAACCTTACTCCGTTTGATTTCAGGTAATCATTGCTACCACATCGATTTTCTAATATGCAAATAAATTAAACGGACAAACAGTTGAGTATCACCAACCTCGAAGACAATTTGTTGATCGAGAGATATTCTTTTGTAATTTGTCATACCATTTTCTAAGAACTTCTTTAATAACTCATTTTGCATTGCAAGCAATTCGCACTGTGAGAATCCAGTATAGTCTGCTAACATCGTAAGCATTTTCTGACACTATAAAAGTTTGAATATGTGAATATGTTCCATTATGAATATCTAATAAAAGCTGTACCATAAGTAAAAAATTCAACCTGTCTGCTAAGAATATATGAAGGACTCAAAAGATTCTCAATAATTCGCCCAACTACACATTCAATGGCTTCTTTCCTTCTCTCACGAACTGATGGCTGACCGAAACAGATCTAGAATTAAAACAAAAAGAAAATAGTTCGATGTGACAACACATTAAAATTGTTAAATATTTAAACTTTGATTTTTTCGACTGAACCATAAAATTAAGTACTTTCAATAACAAATCTAATGTAGCAACCGCAACATCGACAGCTGAACTGGAAACATCCTCCACTAGTCCAACGATAACCTATAAAATCATATTTAATACTTCATAAAAACATTTCTTTAAATTTAAAAAAAGATAAATCTAAATCCGTTGGTGAACTTATAATTCTTGAAATTAAAGAAAAATTCGCGAAGAAATCAATATTCAATTAAAATATTCAGTTCAAAGTTCCACATAACCATCAAAATGCTCAGGAAATCACCTCAAACAAAGCGCAAAGAATAACATCAATATTGTTGATAACGAACGCCTGAGGAAAGTTTATTAAAATAAATTTGATGCTTAAGCATCCACCAAGACGAATACACCACGGCTCGTTATAACAAAGATTAGTTGCTCGCTCCAAAATCTGTTGAAAAAATATAGTGTTGGCTGCCTGAAATTTTATTAAGTTAGAGGTATGCATAGCTATAGAAAATACCTGAGACTAAAAAAAAATATCAATATAAAAAACGCAATATGGTCCAAAATACTAGCAGTAATAACATATTCTATTAACATGGAACAAATTTATGTCTCGTGACAATGCAAGCATCGCCATGATATATTCAGTGATCCAAAAACACGATCTAGATTTTCATCTTTCTAGCATTAATGTTCCTTTTCCCCCAATTAGCCTTCACATTTCAGCTATGCACACTCGTTACAATCACGTGAATGATTAGAAAACTTAAAGATTTCACAAAACTGAACATCGAACCTTTCAATAATAGCTGTTCTAGAAGCGGCTTCTTTAAAAAACTTTAACAAGTAAATTACTTTGTTCATACTACCAAGTAGGGTTACTGTTGTCTCGCAAATCAGTTTCAGTGCCATAAGGCCAGTCTGACACACTTCTTTACACGGATCAGTTAAAGCAAGCAATACGCTATCAATCAGAATAGTATAATCCATTGAGTTGGAATCGCGATTCATAATTTTGTCGCTTTTCTCTATAAAAAAACTAAGCTTTTTAAAACCATCGCTAACCAGAAGACAAGACAATAAGATTCTAATAACTAAAGTCAGCTAAGTTTTTTGAGAAAATTCAATATTAGCTAAATAATTATATATACTTAAGTATAGTGAGAAGATTTAAAGGACTAAAAGAGAATGTTCTTTAAACCGAAGAAACTGCGAACATTTTAAAAATGAATTTCCAAACCTTTTTTTTCAAACTAAAAATGCACAGCAAATCCGATGACTAAAAATTAAAAAGAAAACTTACCATGGCATTGTTCAAAAATAATCTGAATTGTTAGATGTCGCATAACCATGCAAAAGAAATCCATGACATTACTGGTTGCTTCTTGTAATACTGCAGCTGTTGCATCTGAGAAAAAAGAGAAGAATGCTTCTAACGATGGAATAAAGATCTCATAATCGTAATTATAGAATTTTATAACCTTTAGATTTTTTAAAAATCAAGTTAACTCAATTAAACAGTTTTTCATCCGACAATATTAACTGTACAAAAGAAATCACTACTCCAAGTACTGAAGGCAAATTTTTTAGTTTTACAAAATCTGTATTCTAGGACATAATGATTTAAACCGATACCGTGTAACGTATTAAAGCTTCATCATCTTTTGGCTCACCTATCCTTCCATCAACAAATTCTATATTTCTGTTTCCCTAGTTTTTTTGATTCGCACAACATTAACCATAATGAATATTAAGAGAAATTTTTATTATATTATTTAATAACCAATCTTATAAAATTATTTAGAAGTGTACAGCATAAGAATGCCAGTAGTATTCAAGTTAAATATTCAAATGTTATTCGAAAAGAAACAATATGTACAACTGATATAAGTAGAATTGGAATAAACGTTATCGTTGAAATCTTTCACAATTCTAACAATAAAGTCCAAGGCAGTACTGTCTCCTATAACTAAAGATTTTCCAAGGTACTAAAAAATGGTCAACTTTTGTTGCTTAATAATATGATTGCACTCCTATATTATTTTGCGGAAATCTTCCCATGGTTACCATACCAAATGACTTTATCTGAATACACTAACTTGATATGTCTTTTGTCTTGCATTTCTAAAATATTTTAAACTAAAAGCTTAATAATTTGCTTCATAGTCTACTTGAATAATTATTATTAGACTTATAATTGTTTTTTCTATCTGATCTCTATGCTTTAAAATTTACTACGTTATCATAATGAGAGTGTAGACATATTAGTTATTATTTTAGAAAAATATAAAAATAAGCTGAGTCTATATATTACATGAAACCATTCACAGCAAGGAGTGGTTTTTGTGAGCAGTATTGAGAACGTTAAAGATAATGGTGGAACACTGATTTTTAGTACAAGTGGAGTGTCAAAAAATATAGAAAAGGAGACAAGAAAAGATATTCAACATTCAACATGTACCCTGCTTAGCAAGGTGCACAAAGAAACAAAAAGGATGAAATTCTTTTTAGTGGTGCTAAACTTCATCTACCGCTAGCAAAATAAACTGCTTGTAAAAAAACTCAAACTTACAAAATAGTCCGAGTAAGGCATCGAGGTAAAGAGACCGTGAATATCGAATGCTACACTCATAATCTAGTTGAAAACTGCTCTCGTCTTTTGTACGCAGTTCCTAAAATTTACTCCAACAATTATGTATTCTTCTACCCTCATCCAAATACTTATTTCAATAGCATTTTTCAAACAAAGAAAGTTTTGTAAATTTTAAAACTGATGGAGTTCAAGTTACGATGTTGTTCTGAATTACTTTTATATTTACTTAATGAACTGATAACAGAAAAAGCTCTCTACTTTTTTGTTTTTAATAATCTTTGTTCGAGACTAGGACAGAAAGAAACATGGACTAGGAATTTTGAGTTCAGGAACTACTATCTTTACAGTCATTTTCAGTATATGCAGTTGACTGCATTAGCAAAAACAAAGTTACCAAAAATTTAGTAGTAAGGTGCTTCTTGAAGGATGGATTTCTCAAAATTCCGCGCTTGGTAGGTGCCAAAACGCTCAAAATCACTCCTCTGATTATTCGAAATGCATGACGTCTCATAGTTAAAGAAGAAATCCGTATCCCACCCGGAATCGTTTGTGCAGTTGCCATAATAAAGGACGCATCGACTACAAATGGTGAACGTAAATGCCTGACCGATTCTTTCACCACTTCCGAAATATTTAGTTCACAGAAAATCGGAGAGTTCTTCTTACTACTCTGAAAACACGACCTATTTTCATGGAAAAAATTTAATTGAAGAGCGAAGAAGTAACCAAATTAGAAATCAATTCGCGTTATCAAGTAAAATTGTTCTTCATTTTTCATTCGAACCAATTTTCAGTGTATTTATAAACATGAAGAAAAAATGAAGACCTGGGTTTCATCCGATAATGTTTCACTGAATTCAATCTGTGCGGAAGGACGTTCAAAAACCAACTGAAATGCTGGTGATTCGAACAAATGCTCCTCTTTAAATACCAAGTTTTGAGGATCCGTTAACATTTTCCGATTCGATGCACCAAATTTTCCCAAAATCCTGGATATTATAGTTACTCCTTACTGTCAAACGCATTTTCTTGATTTTTAAAGCAAGTAGAGATCAATGATCTTTTGATTTTCTTTATTTTCCAGTCCTTACCACGAATTCAATTCTATCTTTACAATTCTATATTTACTAAAGTATAATTTCAGATTGCATATACACATATGAAATTCCATATTCATAATCCCAATTATGTTTAATTAAAAAAAAGATCGAAATCAAAATGAAAATCAGAAAACCTAAACGCAATCTGTGGTGCGTTTTTTTCCTGACTTGCCATGCACTGCCATAAACCACGTATCAGTTCAGCTCGAACTGGCGCCATATGTTCGTAGAGATAATCAGGTTGTAAATTATCAACACATAATTCTAAAGTTCGTAAACCCTGCAAATGTTTCATAGATGGTAAGATTTGGAATTCCGTAAACAGTATACTATATTGATGTATTATTTATTTCTATTCTTGTCCGGCATTTATATGCTTGCAAAGTCAAATTTGTCAATAAATGATCAGATGAAAATATAACTAAAAAATCTTTGGAAATATTATTAAGTAGATTGCACCTGTTTTACAATTATGCACAAGCACTTCAAGCTGAATTTTTAAAATTTTTTTCAGATCTCACAGATTGAAATAAATACATATAAGAATAAAAAAGCTCAGGAACCTGTTGAATGAGACTACTACTTCCATTCAGAGCGCATACTAACGGATCCATTAATAAGGGTAAATAAGGTAGCAATGACGACAACCTGAATAAAAATAGATCCTTCAAGTCTTAATGATTACATGGAAGACAATGACGAATAAAATCAGAGGTCTTTAAAAAAGATTTTCAGCAACGGTAAGATTTTATTACCTTACAGGTACTGTTAAACATAATTCAATAAATAATTCACGCATTTGCGCCCGATGAGTACTAGATTGCAGACGATTTAGCTGGTGCAGAAGTGTCGGCAGAAGAGGCAGAAATGTCTGGTAAAGCAAATCGTAGCTTCCTCCGCCAATTGAACTCAAATGATTAAGAAACTATCAACATTTATATAGTGCTCAAAAATTTCTAAGTATTTGTTAAAATTCACATTCGTTTAAATGTTTTGACTTCCATGCAACGTTTAACACTAAAAATGTAGGCGATTAGGTACAATTCAGAAGAAACAGTTAATATCCATACCCAATGTGATATAACTGCCGGTCTGCTGAAAACCTTATCATTGCGCAGATTAAAAGTTAATGACCAGCATTAGATTACTTACTACTTACTACAAGCGGTTTTCAGTCGATGCTTTATCGAACTGAAGCAAATCAGAAATTTTAAAACATTTAGTGCCATAAATAAAAAGAACAGTGTAAATTGTAAGACATAACAGCTTTTGGATGTTTCTAGTTATTTACCCATTACGACGTTTGACAACAAATCAAACAAGTTTTCAAATATACCATTCCGCGGGAATAAAAAATTACTACTCGAAGAATCAAATTACCGGAAAAGTGCTCTAAGCAGAAGAAAATAATTAATTGGTTCTCGTGCTCGCAATGCTAGTTCCATCGAATGCAGGACCAGATCATGCAGATATGGCTGCAAAAAGAATTTAATAAAACCTCAGATGTTTCTAAGATCCGAATTTTAAATATAAACTGAAAAAATATAAACTGCTTATATTCGTCTAAAAATAACAGTATGTCTTTAATAAAGGAGGAAGCAATATTCCATATTATTGAAGTTCTGGAACATCAACAAAAAAAGGAAGTTCTACTCGAAGCATTCGTTCATTCTCTGCGCATCCTGAAGGTTGTGAACCAACTGAAGAGAATACAATTTTGAACAGTTTCAACCAGAGGAAAGACCTTTCCGAACATTCTGAAATTTCATTCTGTATCGCAGTATTATTCTTTAATACAAAATTTTATCATATTATTTCATAACATCATCACTGGGAATTCTGAATTTTTTAAATCACATCATTAAACAACATTTTTCGATATTTACATTTCTTAATTTTTAATGTTACCACATTAGGTTCGCTTTTCGCGGTTGATGGTATTAAAAAAGTCTTTTGAATCACAATCATCTTCCACAGAAATTTGAGTTAGATGTTTTGTACATTAGATTGTACTGATCGAAAACAGTAGAAATACTGCTAACAGGGTGTTTTAGCAAAAAATCGTACCACTGAAAATCGTAATCAAAACATAAGAAAAACAGGAATGAGTAAATAAGAACTTACCAGCCAAATCTGGTAATTTCTTTATAAGGAATCGGATTAATATATCGCCAAAATTAGCTGACGTCAAAGAATTAACCAGCAGTGAACTACATATAATTTGAAGTCCATAATTTGAAGCCAATCTTTCGATGAAATACTGAAAAATAAAGTGAAAAAGAGCTAAAAATGCGTTAAAGAAATGGTTTGCATAATGTTTTAAGACTTACATCAATTCGCCTTGATATGATTTCCTTGAAAATTGATGGATTTAATAATGTAAAAATGGAACCAAAAAGCTCCAGAACTTCCTTCTCCTCCTTTGTGCGTACACCATTTGAAAATCTTAATTCAGTTCGATGACATCTTTCATTTTGATTATAATTTTAATACATTACAAATTTGTCCTCAGAAGAACGCCTCCTTCTTGTCTTTTGAATTTTTAGGATCAAAAAAGGAAGAGACTAACCTTTGCTGTGTCGATGGAACTTGATTTGACATTGGGCAGATGACATATATATCAAGGCATCGCAAACCATAACGGAAGAGCTGCTCAATTATTTTTGCTTCATGATCTGGCGATATTGCATCTGGATGTTTAATTTTTAATCCAAAATCAATAAATTCAAATGAAAATAAATCATTTTTAACATCTGAAGAATAATCCTTTTCAAGTATATAACAATGAATAATTATGAATTAAGGTAAGACAAACTATACAGTGTAACGACGAAAAGCATGAAACAGTTCACCATGACCAACAACACTGGCTCGGTATGTTAATTTCGCAGTTCATGATGACAGGTGATAAATGATTTTATTTTATCCACTTTTTTGATTAAAAAATTCAAAATTTGCAAAAAAAATGATCTTTATACAAACTATCCAATGTTAAGAATTGGCTAGTAAATTCATATTAAATTACAACGTAAACCGCAGTTTAAGCAAAAGGCCTGCTACTGAGAAAAAGAAAAATCTAACGATTTGTAGCATGAGTATCCTTTAAAGCGTGCACGGCATGTTTGCAAGCTTGAACAAGAACTCGGATCATGTTTCTGCATTCCAGTAGAGTATAAGATGGAATACCAGTAACCCAGTACTGGATGAATATCTCTTCGGGTGTTGATGTCTGTAAAGAATAAATAATACTATTTTATGTCTATTCCGTGCAGAATTCTTTGCAAAATTTATCAAAAAAAAGATGACTCGGTCGCCTATTGACTAGCGTATAAAAGTCCTCAAAAATGAAGCAAATTGTAACAAAACCAGGTTATAACTTTTATTTCACAGGATCTTACCTTCCCTGCCTTCGTTGATGCTGGAAGACAAAAAGATGATGGAATGTTTTTTTCGTTTTCATTATCCCAGGTACTGAAATCGAAGTCATTTTCTGAGGAAAGGGGTGATGTGGGATCTTCTTTAATCACTTTATTATGGATGACCGCCTAAAACAAGCCATGTTAATTTTGAAAATTTTTAAAAATTTTTAACAATATTTTTTCTGACAATCTGCTCTAATATAAATGTATTATAGAAATTCAACGAAAATCGCTAACATTTAACAGATTACGTACTCGCGGTTTAACTTCAAGTATTATTGGAAAAAATGCAAAAAACAAAAAGATTTGGAAAAAAGATTAAAATTAACCTCATCCACTTTGCTTTTACTGTTTCCAAAAAAATCACTGCGTGACTGGGAAATGCTAAAAATTTTGATACATAATATAATAAATTGGAAAAATGAATATAACTGTTAGTTTTATAAATTCAAGTATTTCATATTGCAAATATAGACATGCTCTAAAATATCATTAATTTTTCTAATTCAATAAATTCTGAATCATTTTTTTCAATTTTTCATTTTTTTAAATGAAAAAATCAGGTTTTGGAAAACGAGGATCTTAAAATTTTTTGTTCATAAGAAATTCGTGCTCAGTTGTGTTATGCATGGAAAATTGCCTATTTTTGATTTCCCATAAGTCTGCCTTTTAAAAACTGTACAAATAAAAGAAATGATACCTAACACCTCTATCGGGATAGAGTAAAGGTGTATTCATGATATTACTTGCATTTTTTTCCAATATTACCGGTACTTGGTATCGTGCCAACCATTTAAGTTTCCGTACATAATTTTCCAACAAACAAAATAATATATCACGGCACTAAAAGTAAATCAGACAAACAGTTTCCTCATTTATCTTTTTTACATGTATTATAGAAAATCAATTAAATTATTTATAAGTTGAAGGCAATATCGAAAGTTATTATTCCAATGTGTATTATCTACTTCGAGCAATGTTGTGTCATGACAGAAATTTACTTTCACTAGTTGGTGCAAACTTACCGGTTGATCGGGATGATTTTTCTCGGTAATAACAAATGATTCAATAAGATTCATCATTAATTTAATGCACATCGACTGCACTGTAGGTTGTATTGCCGGGTCAAACATACTTTTTGTAAATGCATAAACTGAGCTGAAAAAGTGATTTTAGGTTTTGATCATGACTCAAACCTTAAAAAATTGGAAAATTGAAAAATATAGTGACCATTCCCAAAAAAATAAAACTACCAACCAACAGAGCAGATTGTAAGAGAGATGACCGCGTACATGATGCACAAGATCTGCTAGCATTGTATACATAGTTGGTCTGCAAAATAACATCATATAAAATTATCTGAGAATTTAAGAATCTGAAATGTTTTAAGAACAAGGGCAATTGAAATAGTTTCAAAGTTATTCAGAACAGGTAAACATTCTTTTCAAGTCAACATAGTTAGAGTTTGCATAAAAAAGAAGAAAATAGACAATGAAGGATGATAGATATAAAAATTTGATATAGCACGCTTTTCTGATAAATCATTGCTTTGTTTTAATAAAATACAGCAAGTATTTTAATAAAATACAGCAAACCTTAGAAAATCCATCGAACTGAATCCATTGCCTAACATGAGATTCTCATTAAAGAGTTTGGGGATAACTGGGATAAATTTAGTCTGAAGGTCAGTGACAAAAATATTTTTAACTGTCCCAATCAGTTCACGTCTCATCGAATAGTTTTCATGCGGACATCGTTCCAGCATTTGCATTATCGATTGAACTATTTGTGTTCCATGATTACTTACTACTTCACTTACGTTGAACTATAAATAAATGAATAGTTTAGAAAAATTTATAAGAAGGATAACAAGCGATAGAGGACCATACATCACATATCAAGTAAAACTCTTCCAAATCTGTTCATGAAATCTGTTTCTAAACTGAGAGCATTATATTGGAAATGGATTTCTTAAAATATCTAAAGTTTTTTAATTATGAAGTACAATACATATTTTACTGAGTGTAAATTAGGTTGGTTAGAACACTTACTTTTCAGAGATTAAATATCATTTTAAGTATTTCGTTTTATTTATCAGCCATATGAACAATTTATAGACTAAACTACCATGACTAGTCGCCAAAACGAAAACGGCCATCTAATACCCTTGATATATATTTAAGAGTTGACAGTTACGAATGACTAACGTTAACATAAAATAAAAAGAAAATTTTTTCCAAACTTAACAGTCTTGAAAAAGACGCTAACCACAGCGGAACGTGATGAGATGAATCCCAAAAATGTCAGTGCTCGCACTTGGGAAGTATAAAATTCATCAGCCAATAATGTGCTAAATGAAGTACTAATTTGCTGATCGTGAGGTATTGAAAGTGAACAGTATTGCACCATAAGCGAAATTATTTCCATTAACTGCAAACTTTATTTTTTTATGGAGCTGGAAAAATTAAGATGATTGTTAATTAAATGATCAAGCAAAGATCTACGTTTTAAAAAGATTTCAATCAGCTTAACGATGTTCTTAATCAATTACCTAAAGTTGAGTCCTTGAATCGGAACAATATATACATTATTACTGATACCGATAAGAAATGTAATTTGAGGTATATTATAACATTATTATCATAAGAGATGCTTTCCAATTCGCCTAATGCTTTGGGAAGAAAGAAAATTAAAGACTTTACAAATTTCTTTAAACATCGAACCCCAAAGCAAACCTCATTCTGAATGTGATGACGGTGAATTTGGAACAATATAATACAAAACATGGGCACTTCTGACAAAACCTTTACACTCTGCGAAGCGCGTGGAATCAAAGAATAACCACTGTCACGCTGGTTACCATCTCCCGAAGTTTCGGGAAGGTAGACAATTGTCGGCATATAACAGTTTTGAAGTGACTAAAACATCTTTTCCAAGAAATTGCATTCATACTTTACTGTCTCTAACAGTGCATTTAGTCATAAGGCAACTGTTTGCTGATAGTAATATATTAGAGATATTAAATGCTTTATTCTACATACAAATTCTGCAATATTTATTCTAGTAAAAAATTTTTTAACTATAGGAAAATGTGCAGTTTGCAAGAGAACCAATGTGCTACTAAAAATCATCCAACCAATAACTTACGGATTCAATTACACTATCTTCCATTCCGCAGTGTCGAAGATTTCGCTGTTCAAACATGCGTCCACTGGTGATATGCTGCGGCATATCACGATATACTGCTTTAAAATGATTGATAATTGCCGGAATCTGAAAAATTAGTGCACTACTTTTTAATTTTTTTACTTTTTAATAATTTAATATGCGTGATGCACCAAACAAAACTTTTTAACATTTCAGAAACAGATTTTTGCCACTGTTCAAAGTAATCTTATAATTGAGTAAATGACATCAAAGAATGAAAAATAAAGTTTAAATTTCGAGTGGAAAAAAAAACCTCTGGTGTAAAGACAGCCCTAAATGCACGTTGATGCTCACTGATAATTTTGATCGCAATGACAGCATTTTCTTCATTCTCAACTTGAATTACTTTTGTAAGTTGAGTAAGGATAAGTTTTGCATACTGTTTAACGATTTCATTGCAGTTCATCCGAAGTATCAGCTCAAGTATCAATTTTCTTAACTGCTGAAATATTTCAAAAGTTTATCAATATAATGTGCTTTTAAATCAGATCAGTGCTAACAAAGTAAGTAAAGCAGTGATTGACTACACAATTTTCAACATAGACAGATATCTTTGTACAACTTTTCATTATTCCCCTAAAGTTTACTCCACAATTCTATGCTGTTTTGAATAGCATCGCAAAATCTACCCTATAATGCTTCTTCATAAGTGTACCTGCGTGTTATTTTCTCCAATAAACTGAGGTACAGTATCTTGAAAGATTTTCAGAAATGTGCGTAACAGATTTTCCTGCACTATTTGGAAAGCTGGTGTAGTTGCCACTTCTTCAAAACTATTGCTTATTTCCTGAAAAGTATGTAGTTCAATAGACAAATGGAAAAAAGGAAGAATAGTGAAAGTCATGTTTGTTCTAATCAGATACCTGATGAATTATACTTCAAGGGTTCAAATGTTGCCAATTCGTTAATTAGATATTTAAAGTGAACATCATTCACATAGCACTTATGCCTCTAGTGGTAATACATTAATCATGATGAAATGAGCAACACCACTACTCTTTCTACCAAACATATACTTCAATTCTCTGTATTACTTTTGCTTGCTAGGTAATTAAATGTGAATGGCTCACAATAATTTTAGTATTTTATTCAGGAAATTTGTCGGACAATAATGACAAACTTCATCGGCTTTACAGTTTATTTCCTTAATTAAAGGTTTCAAAACCAGTGTCGATATATTGCGTAATAAATTTCACTTCGGAATGCATAAATTTTGTTTCATTTTTGATAAAATAACTGGAGCTAATTTGAGATGAAAAAGATGTATAACTCGTGTATTGTGCAAATCAATTACCTGTAAAGCTTTCAACTTGAGATCATCTCTTTGGCCGGCATCCCCGATTGTCTGGATGAGTGTCTCAAGACGTGAAAGTAAAGGATGACCCTGTGTGGTGCCTTGAAGACTGTGCCCCATAGGTCTTACCATTTGTGACTGTTGCTGTGAAGTGTGCTGCTGCGACTGAGGGGTGTTGTAACCGACAGGAGTACTCATCTGTGGCAAATTTGAAACATTGTAATTATTTTACATATTATGTTTCTCTTAATTTACAGCTGCTTTCGAACAACTATGCATATTTAGCGGTAAGAGCAAAAACAGAGATTCCAAGACTGACTACAAACTGAAGTCAATCACTGTTACTAACTCCATAGTTAATAACTCGATATCGCAATTTTCAGTATAAGGCGGACAATGTGGCCGTCCTCTGCTATCACCCTGTAAGAAAAAGGAAAGAGAAGGATTAGTTTGAATGGATTCTGCTGCGCGCCCGAAGTACTGGGATAGAATAGAATAGAAAAAAGGAAAAAAAGATGTACGGGGAGTTATCAAGTAAGAAATTGTCTCTCTGGGTAACTCTGATCTACACTCGATCTCGAAAGAGGGTAGACTGTTCTCAACAAATCTTAGCTATCTGTATTGACGTACACAATATTCACTGATACATCAATATCGGTACTCGTTGGCTCACCATCGTGTACAGAATTGATGCTATGATATTAAATCGATATTTAAATTGGATTAATGGATTCGAATCTTGTAAATTAGTGTTAATGAATTAGTTTTAAATCACGTGATGTTAAAAAGATTTTGAAGCAGTGTGTTACGAAAATTATACTAATGAAATGGATAAATTTTGATGTCTCTGATGAGTGAAAAAACATTTTCTCCATTAAAATAGCTAGAATTCTTCTTATTTGTTTCTCATTTTTCGAAAATTGTCGAGTGCAAAATTGGCAACATTCTACTTACCATGCTGGAGACATTTTGAGAGTATAATAAATCTCAATCAATGCTGATTTGTCATCTGTCTTATCGTTAAATTCGATACGTTCTAACTGTACGGCGCCCTCTTCTCATCATCCCTTTATCGATTCCATGTGTCTGTGCGCAGCTATCTTTCGGCTAGATGAAAGGAAAGGCCACGCGCTGTTGTCACGATCATGAATCAAGATTGATGGGTTAACCTAGGCAGGTACGTGTCATCTTTTCTTCAAGGCAAGAACAGACAACAAAGTCGATGGATACGGTATGTACGCTGAGTTTTATTAATGACAAATATTTCTGTGATGATTTTAGAAATGTTTTTACTGTACTTTGATGGGATACTTAAAGTTTGCTTTTTTGGCATTATTCATTTTAGTAGTACACATACATGTTGGCAAATCAAATGTCCTTGAAAAATAACCGCTTTCAGGAATTTTTGAAAAGAAAATTGATGCACTCGCAACATTTGGTTGGCTTATTTTGGCAACAATTCGTGTATTTCCCCATTGCATTTTTTTTATATTACCAGTGAAAATATAGATTGATTAAAGCTATTCAATTCATTGTTTTTATTATTAAACTAAATCTAGTAATTAACAATAAATGGAATGTCATTAGATTGTAGAATTATTCAGCCAATGGAGATAGGTCAAGTTGACAAATGCGATTGTCAGCTTTGAACAACTTCCTCTCCTGCTCCAGTAAAGTGCGATATATTTTATAATCGAATCCTAATTGTCAGAGAATTTTAATCGTTGTTAAAACCTGATGCTTTTTAAGTTACCGTCACGGTGACCGATTTTTAGTCATTTCTACTTCCTTTATTTCGTTGCTACAAGACTGTATTTATTGAATTCATTACTTTTTCATAACTTCTTCGTTTCTAATTACAGCTAAATTGAATAGCAATAGTATTTCGAATGCTTTCTGCTATGACTGAGTGATAATCGCTTAATGGATTTCATTCACTTTCTTGGGATGCTTTGCTGGCATCAGTTCCCTAAAATGACTTTCATTTCAATCTAGCTTCATTTAGTTTGTCAAAGCATCTTTTTCTTTCCGCAAACGTTCGTCTACAAACACTATTCCCATTCCCCACATTGAGAACATTCAAATAAAATCTTCAAATCCCGACTTCTCCTTCATCACTACCTCTCATTCATGTTTTGAAAAAATAGGATTTGAATGAGGCTAAAAATCTTGCAAAGATAGGAAAATTTAAAACACTAAAAGAGCACTCTTCACTGTATAGAGCATACTCGTTCTATTAATTTCGAGAAATAAAAAAGATAACGAAAGAGTGTTTGAAGGATAGCAAAAATATGAAATCTCTCCGTGGTTCTGAGCACAGTGCAGCTGTGGTGTGATGAACTGGTGTCGTAAATGCGATGATTTATTTTCAACTTTTATGGTGCCCATTTAGAATTATCGAGTGTTGCGTTTCTTCGTTCTTTTTCCCTCCATTCGCATTACAATTTCGATAAAAAAAAATCCGTTCAACATTTTTGAAGAACTGGTTCGAAATTTCTCAACGTAACTTAAATTTCCATATTAAACCAATTAGGCAATCGGAAGATTAAGTTTTGTGGATTAACAAACTGAGATTTGTAAAATGTGTTCAGCTTACTGGAAATAAATAAAACAAACTGATTTAAATAAATAGAAATTCATTCTCATTTATATTCAGCATTGAACGATTTCTTCAGGAAATGTTAATGCAATCCTTGTTGCAATACCCCAAGACGAATTCTCAATCTAATGTTGCTGCAAGAAGTGTGATATTACCTTAATTTTGAATGAAGTACCTTCCAAAAGGAATTGGCATGAACCGCTGTCCAGCTTGTAATCGTATCTTACTTTGATCGATACGCTTCACCTCAAATACGAGAATCATTAGAATTAATGCAGTAAGGCACTGCAAGAGAATCAGGATTATTAGTAAGAAGTCATAGTTCAATATACTGCTACTGTTTTGCTTTATTCGAAGGAATTTTTTTTTATTGCTTTCAAAAATAACCGGTGAATTTATTCACTTTGTTCTTATGGACTTGGGGGCAAAATATGATATCAATATGGACGGACGAAATAACAAATGAAATATGATTTATACATTATGGCGGCCCACAAATTTGTATAAAACATAGAAATTGTTTTTAAATTCGAGTAAATTCTTATATATAAACATTTACTGGTTATAT